ACTCTTCCTCTGACAGAACTTAATTATTTGCATCTCAGCAACCTCAATCTCTCCCAATGAAAGAAAGCCATGCCGGAAATCAACCTTATGTTGAGCATCTTCAGACTGAATTGGATCAGATGCAGGCTGAAAATGTATCTTCCTGCGATGCAATAACAACATCTTGAACCTTAAAATCCAACCCATCACCCTGATGAGACGAGTCCAGGATGAGGCACGATGGATTAAAGGGGTCAGAGGATGATCATCACCGTGCACTTGTGAGACGTTGATGGCAGCAGACACCTTAACTTCAGGATCTTCACGTGGAAGTTCTTGCAAATTTTCTGGGTTAACAGGCCAATTGTTCTCTGGCTGTGTAAGAAATGCGGGGCCACATATCCATTCAGTGTCACGCAAAAAGGTCTCAGCCTTCACACCTCTGGAGGCAAGGTCCGCAGGGTTATGCGTGGTGTTCACATACCTCCATTGGGAGGCACTAGAAGCCTTGAGGATTTCTGACACTCTGTTTGCCACAAAAACACGGAACCTGGAAGACTCATTATTTATATATTTCAACACTGCAGTGCTGTCCGTCCAAAAGACAGAGTTTAGGAGAGGTAGTCTCAACTCCCTCTTCCACGTTCTATCCATGCGAACTGCTACCACTGCTGCCGTCAATTCCATGCGAGGGATGGTGACTGGTTTTAAAGGTGCCACCCTGGATTTTCCCATTATGAAGGAACTGTGCGTCTGTGAGCAACTGTTGTGCAGCAACAAGTAGGTAACAGCCCCATAGCCCTTCTCACTCGCATCTGCAAAGTGGTGCAACTGAGCAGTGGTTGTCTCTCCAAAATCAGGAGGTTTTAAACATCGTCCGATGCAGATATTGTTCAACAGATGCAATTCTTCTAACCAGCTTTTCCACTCTTCAGCAACTGCTGATGGTATAGCATCGTCCCATCCTATCCCCCTCTGGCACAGATCTTGAAGGATCCTCTTGGCTGTGAAGATAACAGGAGCAAGGAACCCCAGAGGGTCATAGAAGGAGCTTACTGTGGATAGGATCCCTCTCCGAGTCAATGGTCTGTTTGGGATGGATATGCAGAACTTAAATGCATCTGACTGCAGGCACCACTTCACTCCCAATGCTCGCTCAACAGGTAAAAGGTCACGATCGAGGTCTAGGTCCTTAACTTCATTTGCTCTTTCCTCCTCAGGTATGACTGCCAGAACACTGCGGCTATTGCTGATCCACTTTGTTAAGTGGAAACCACCCTTGGCGCAAATGTCTCTAAGGCCTGAGTAAAGATTGATGGCTTCTTCTTCAGAGCATATTGAAGCAAGGCAGTCATCCACATAAAAACTATACAGAATGGTGTCAGTCACCTGCTGGCTGAAGTATGCTTTGTTGTCCTCTGCACATTTCCGCAGGGCGTAGTTAGCACAGCTTGGAGAAGACGTTGCCCCAAACAAATGAACACCCATTCTGTACTCTTGCATGCTCTGATTGAGGTCACCACCAGGCCACCAAAGAAACCTCAAAAGGTCAGCATCTTCTTCTGGCACATGCACCTGGTGAAACATAGCCTCGATGTCAGACATCAAAACAATTGGCTCTTTTCTGAACCTCGTCAGTACGCCAACCAAGCCGTTTGTTAAGTCAGGACCACTCAGGAGCTGCGCATTAAGGGAGACACCCTGGAATGATGCTGCACAATCAAAGACGACCCGCATCTTCCCCTTGGTAGGATGGTAAACCCCATGGTGAGGGATATACCAAAGCTTCCCATCGCTGCGCTCCAATTCTGCGACTGGCACTCTCTTTGCATATCCTCTAGATATGAGATCTGTCATGAAAGCAGTGTAGTCTTTGTGAAAGTCTTTATCTCGGATGAGCCTTTTCTTCAAACCTAAGGCTCGTTGCTCAGCAATTGCACGGTTGTCAGGCATTCTTATGTCTCGGTCTTTCAGTGGCAGGGCAATGCTGTAGTGCCCATCCCTCAAGGTCACCGTCTTGCTGGCCAATTCCATGAACTTCATGTCTTCCTTTGACAGCCCCATCTGTTCATCATTGCTGCTCTCAGGAAAGTCTATCTTAAACTGCTGTTTCCATAGCTTGTCCAGTGTGACAGCAGAAAGTCTGTTGGCAGTAACTGTTGCCAGACATCCTGGCCTTCCACAGCATTCTTGATTAAGTAGCCCATTAACTGTCCAGCCCAGCACAGTCCTAATGGCAAAAGGTCCTTCACCTACACTCCGGATGACCTCCAAAGGTTCTAGAGCTCTGGGCATATTCATGCCAATCAAAAGCTCCACATTGGCCTTAATTTCTGGCAAATGAACATGCTTCAAATGTGGCCAGTCATCCAGGTCCTGTTGATTTGGGATGTTACCAAGATCTACAGGCATTTTATGCTGAGTGAAGAGGTTAGGCATATCACAGTACATGTCACTGTCCAATCCAGCAACTTCAAGTTCAGGTACAATGAAACTGTCCACCACTTTCTCCTGTCCCATGGTGCGCAGGAGAATCTTTGTCCTCCTCCCGTCAATATTCAGCTTACCCATAAGACCCACTGTGCAAAAGGACGCTGAACTCCCTTGGTCCAGAAAGGCATACGTTTCCACTATTCTTTGACCACTCTTGGATTTTACTTTAACTGGCACAATGGCAAGCTTACAGTCTTGTTCACCGGCCCCAGTAAGGCCACTAGTCTGGATCGTAACTGGAATGTTATCTGCCTCATTACCAGGTTTAACTTCACTCTTCTCTTTATGGTTTATATGGAGTATACTTGCATGTCTAAGACCACAGATTTTACATGAAAGGCGTTTTCTGCATTCTTTGCTTATGTGCCCAGTACACAAACAGCCAAAACAGATGCTGTTCTTTTTAAGAAAAGAAATCTTCTCATTATGAGGTTTCTTATCAAGCAGAGCACATGACTCCAGTGTGTGTCCGCCTTTGCAGAAAAAACAAACCTTCACAGTGCTGTGCCGATCTTTAATCCATGTCTGATTCTGTCTCTCGACATCAGAGACTGTTGTAGCGAAGCTACTTCCTTTAGCTCTTAGGTGTGGAGAACGTTTCCCTCCATTGCTGCCCTTGGCTGAAAGATGTGTCGCTGGAACGTCACATAAATTTCCAAAGACAGGATCTATTGCAATTTTTACTTGACGCTCAAGGAAGGAAACAATGTCAGTGAATGCGGCTCTGCGATGTTGCCTCTCCTGAATGTCACATGCTACTGTTCGCCATTTGTCTTTTAACTTATATGGCAGTCTTCTAATCACAGCAAGCATATTGGCGGGTGTATTTAATTCAGAGAGATCGCTAATCTCTTCCATTGCATTGCAGCATCCACGTAAGAACAAACAATATGCCTGAAGAGCTTTTCCATCTTCTGATCTAATCAGTGGCCATGAGTGAACTTTGTTCAAATAAGCGGATGCAATCACATGTCCATTCCCGAAGTGCTCATACAGCAGAGTCTTTGCCTTTACATATCCAGCACTCGCAGACATATTTTGACAGCTTTTAACAAGTTCATTGGGCTGCCCTTTGGTGTACTGTGCAAGATAATGCAGGCAGTCGCCAGCATCACCAGTCTTTGCTTCTATGACCTGTTCAAACGAGCGCATGAAGGCCTGAAAATGTAAAGGGTCACCATCAAAGGTTTGAATCTCCCTTTTGGGCAGTGAAGAAAGACTCTGCTGATGGACCAACATACAAGTCAATTCATTTTGTTTTTCCATAATGGACAACAGATTTTCACTGGCTACTGGATGAGCAGCTTGTGGCTTAGGAAAAGGTGGGATTGATCGAAAAGCATCAGAAGGCCCCATAAGAGCGGGTGCAGGCTTTTCCCTTTTCATAGTCTGTTGCACTGTTTTTACTTGAAGCTCTGCATTACCAGTGATTGTGTTTCCCTTTGTAAGCATCTGTGGAACAAAAGTCTCTGCATCCGCATCAAGAATTCCATGGCTGTTTCTCTTTGTTTTCAAATATGATTCCATTCCATTAGATTTCCGTGAAGCGACGCTCCGCATAGTGGATCCAGTTCTCAGCACGTTAACCTTTGCAACAGTTGCAGCTATATCTGCTTCAAGCTGAAGTTGTTCTTTCTTTCTCCTCAATTGTTCCTCTTGCTCTTCCAGAGAGTGTTTTTCCTTCAGCATATGTTGACGTGCGAGCAAGGCAGCCATTTCAGCTTCCGCCCTGAGACGTGCAGATGAAGTAGATGATACTCTTGAGCTTGACCTACTGCCTTGATTTGACACACTGTCGGATGGTAACACATCATCATTAACATCATTCTGGGGATTAAGAGATGACTGAGGTTCTTTTCCAGGGTGCTCTAACATCTCCATTTCTCCTCCCAGGGAAGTTTCCTGTGATTGTGCTTTGTCAAATGATGGCCTCCCCGAACGTTTATCAGTTTCAGAAAGCCATATCTTAACATCCTCCATAAACCCTTTATTGTATTTAGCGATGCTTGAGAACCATGTATTTTGTTTATTTTTCTCATCAAATGAGATTAGAGAAAGTAAAGATTCATGCAAAGCACTGGCATGCTCAAATAGGTGTGTTAACTCATCAAACTGTTTTTTGACTTGTGAATGATTTGTATCATCTTTCATTAGCTCTTTAAGAGATGTAATGAGACTTTTCATTTTATTTACATGCCTTTTCCGATCTGTTTGGATGGTTTCAACTTTGTTTGCAAGGGCTTTCTCAGTGAGAGAAATTAATCTTTTATCCTTTTCAATTTTTCCAGCAACAGATGCCTGTGATCCACTCATTTTAAGCATTCAACATCAGCAGCATTCCAAATCCAAAACAAAGGCAACAGGAAATCCTTCAAACTCAGTTGAACGCCTGCAGAGCCACAGCACACACATACGCCATGTCCAAGAGCAAACGCAGTGGTGGGCGTGTCACAAAAACATCCTCAAATGATCAGAATCCACACTGCGTTCCAACAAGCAATACGCAGCACAAAACACGGTTTACATACCACCGTCGTCTCCTCCTTATCTGTCAGACGAGCCGCTTTAATGGGTGAAGTGGCGGCGGTGTGTGGGCTTGCGTCGGCGTTTATTCAGCGCAGATTGCGGGCAGCTCCATTGCCGTCCCACGCAGTCTTTTTTTTTTGCTGACAAATATTGGCGACTGTCAAGCCTTTGAGTCGCCGAGCAGCTGAATAGGGGAATAATGTTGACGCGCCCGCTGTTCCACTCCGAAGTCAAAGTTCCAGGTTAAAAATTCCTTTATTTGTTATTAAAGCCTTAAAATCCGTTGAAAAACAGTGATAAATAAAAAACATTCTAAGCTTGAGCGGTCAGCAAAAAGTTGACTTCCCCCATCACCCACTCATTCTCCCATTCCATCACCTGCACAGGTGATAGCAATCACTATTATTATTACCGACACCATGTGACCCAAGGCAACGCCTATCCACAACAAGCACCTTGGACAACACACTTGCCATAGCAATAGGCTTGTAGTTATCAATACAGGCGATTTGACCAGTTTTCTCTTTGACTATAGGGACTAAGAGAACAGATAACATATGGCCAGGCAAGGTTCCATGCTTCAAAAAGCCGGTAAAGCACAATGAGAGTAACACCTGAGCTCTACAGCTAGCATGCTTCATGTGCTCTGCTGATAGTTGATGAGGGCCGCAAGCTTTGTTTAATGACATTTTCTCTATAGCGAGACGGACTTCATCAGCTCTGACAATCATACCATGATTGTAGTCAATGTTGCCAAGATTGAACCTTTCACTATTTACACAGTTAAAAAGTCTGCTAAAGTGATTCCTCCAGGCTTTTACAATGTTCTTATCTCCTGAAACCCCATTTATAGATGCGGGTAGCAGCTGCTTACTGATACAGGAGCGTTTTAACTCCTTCCAGAACTCCGACACATTATTATTCTTTAGTTTGTTCGCTAAGGAGTTTGCCCGCATCGTTTGCTCATTCCTTTTAATATAGCGAACAGCATTCTTGAACTTAACTTTCTTATTAGACTCCGAATTTTTGTTTACCAGCAGCTGCCTAGGCTTTATAGGCGGCAGAATAAAATATGACTTGGGTGGGTTGGAGACGACGGGTTCTGCGGGGCTTAAAAGGAGGACGGAATATAAAAAAGACTTACAGTTTGTCCGCTCCGCTCCCCTCGGCGGCCATTTTTATTTAAGTAAATCAATTTTTATTAAAGAAAACTCACAACATCTCCGTTGCACACCGCCCCCTCTAGCCACAAACACCGCGAGATTTGGGACTAGGCACAAGTAAGTAGAAAGGGCGGCGTAGATATCGCGAGAGCTGTTCTCAATGACGATAAGATCAAGGCGTTCAGGTTCAGCTCGGAAACTGTTAAACAAGTTTTGATCGTTGATAATAATAATAATAATAATAATAATAATAATAATAATAATAATAATAATAATAATACATTTTATTTAAAAGCGCCTTTCAGGACACCCAAGGTCACTTTACACAAAACAAAATGCAATAAAACAATAATAAAACCCAAAGAAGAAAAAAAAAACAGAGAGAAACAGTTCAATAAAATCAGAGGTTGTAGGCAGATTTAAACATATGTGTTTTGAGTTTTGTTTTGAAAAGGGTAAAACTGTCGATGTTCCTGATGTCTGGGGGAAGTGAGTTCCAGAGTCCAGGAGCAGAGCGGCTGAAAGCTCTGCTCCCCATGGTAGCGAGACGGGCAGAGGGAACCGCGAGATGAATGGAAGAAGAAGATCTGAGAGAACGGGATGGGGTGTGAATACTTAGAAGGTCTGAGATATATGGAGGAGAGAGGTTGTGGATTGCTTTGAAGGTATGAAGGAGAATTTTGAAGATGGACCTGAATTTAACTGGGAGCCAGTGAAGCTGCTGGAGAACCGGGGTGATGTGGTGAAAGGAAGGGGTTCTGGTGATAAATACGGGCTGCCGAATTCTGGACCAGTTGCAGTTTATGAAGGAGTTTGTTGGGGAGACCATAAAGAAGTGATGTTAATTTTAATCATAAGACACAAGAGCACGAGATTACATTTGTGTGATAGTTAGCTGAAAGGTTTATAATAAAATGTTAAAGTTTCAAGATAACGTTAATCATATCAGAATTTCTATGAAAATGAAAGCACCATGTCTACAGTAGCATTCGCTTTCTTATTGTTTTCCCGTTTCTCTTTATAGTTTATTATTCTGCTTCTGTACGTTATTTGGCATTTAACTTCTTCCACAATTCTTCAGCTACTTACACAATTTTGGTATCAAAACGTTCAGCTTATACCAACTATGATTTTTGGTATTGAAATACTTTTATACTTTTTGAGGCATTCAGCTTTTTCTGCTATTTTTCCCCCCGTTGAAATGAATGGAACTGCTCAATTTTCAGTAAAATCCTGTCACGTTTTTGACCTTTACTCTGATAGGTTAACCTTAATCTAGAGACTTCATTCAAGGTTCAACAAACTCACAAGACGTTCGGCTATTACTGGTTACATTTTTTTTTATATCTTCCCAGGTTTTTCTAAAATCACAGGTAGAAGTTGAGGTACGGCTTGAGATTTTCAGAAAAATTCACAAAAATTATAATGGGCAAAGATAGGAGCGGTGACCCTCCCTTGCTCCATTTCTGGCATTGTAATTGTACAGATAACCACCAAAGCCTTCTGCTGCTCACACTTTTTGAATTTTTCAGTTCGGTGCAGCAGTTTATGAAAGTGATGAGACATTTCAGAGGTCTGAAATGACATTTGATGCAGCTGAGAAACTGCATGAGTTATGAACACCTTGAAACAAAAATTTCCTCTGAACATATCTTTTATAGTACACTAATGATTTTCTCAAACTCAGTAGGTTTTTTGTCAGCCTTGAAGTACTGTCTCTGGTTTACCTGTAGGCAGGGGTGGACTGTCCTATCTGGCATTCTGGCCCTGTCCCGGTGGGCCTCTCAGCCAAGTGGGCCACTTGCCCATGGGCCGCCCCAAACCAAGCCCCCACCCCGTCTCACATGCGGTTATAGAGACAAGTCCGCGAGCAGCACACAAAACACCCCGTCCCTCCCCCACATTTGGCGGGATAGACGAGTCGCAAGCAGCAACCTCCCCTGTCGAGGGCCGATGGTTCATTAAAACCCCAGGGCCAAATTTTGGTCCCAGTCCACCCCTGTAGGCCTGCAGCTAAACCATAATCCCGGTATTACGGTTTTTAAGCTATGAGCCTCAGGAGGAGGACTGTGCCAGCTTTCCTCTATTGTAAAGAAGGCTTGTGTGGCTGACAAACAGCTGAAATGTTCTCCTCATATCTTCTAGAACAGCGGTTCCCAAACTAATTTGGCCATGCATTCCCCTATGTCCCGACCATGTCAATGCACCCCCCAGCCCCCACACCAGGGGGTCGTTCCCGCGTACAAACCAAAACGCCCCTTTTAGCGGCTGGCCGGATGATACACTATGGGAGGAGTTTCTGTGAACCAAATGATGTCATTTATGTATAAAATAATTATTAATAAGAATAAAATACTGATTAGAATTTAGGTGTGCTTATCTTTTTCTACAGTAGGCCTACCAAACTCAATCCACGAAGGGATTGTTTAAATGAATGTTAGCCTCTCCTTGAGAGACTTCCACATATTTAAAATTCTATCACAGAAAAGATTTTTAGTTGATTAATCTCTGTTGACATAAGTGACAGAAACTACATCAAATTTAAACTCAGCAGCCTTTGTAAACTGATTCTATACAAATTACTATTTGAAATTGATTTCAGAGCAGGTGAATTTATAGCCTAGTGAACTAGACCAAATTCTTGCTTTATGTTTATGTATTTAGCAGACGCTTTTGTCCAAAGCGACTTACAAGTGATAATCGGCATATTGCCCTTGAGGCTAACAACAACAATAACAACAACATTGACATCAATCATGGAGAGGAGGGAACAAGGAGTGGACAGTAGAGAGGGGGGACGGGTGCAGGCAAGGTGCTAGTTAAGAAGATGCTCTCTGAAGAGCAAGGTCTTCAGGAGTTTCTTGAAACTTTGCAAAGTTTGGTCTAGGAACGCTCCACTGGAACCTCTGCAGCCCCTAACAGCATTCTGGCTGGCCAATCACAGCCCTCTAGAGGGGTTTCAAACACATAAATAATACATTTATTTAGTCTGGCTTGCCAGGCTAGTGAGTTTATGGAAGATTAGGGGTATTATTATTTTTATTTACCACATTTTGTATTTAAACTTTTCATCAATTATTAATCAGAAAACCTCCGGCTCTCCTCTCCTAGACCTGCAGGCTTTACAGAACCAGCTCTAGTGCCCGGATCTGAACTCCGATCATGAGCTGTTGCTTTTGTCTGATTACCGATTTCATCGACCCGGTTACAACTAGCATGGCGACATCTAAGGCGTCACGTGAGCTACTTACAGACGGAATTCGGGCGGTTCTTCACACATGGCCGGTTTTACAGGTGAGCTTCGGAACCAGGTCCACCTGAGACGGACAGGTGGTTTCACAGAAATACAAACATGTGACGTTTAGACGGACAGAGACATGATCTGCGGAAGCTAACAGACCGATGCTAACAGGTTCACGTGTTTTTATTTAGGCTTTTATGGTTTTTGAAAAAAATCTTGGACTTCAGTGCAGATGTGATTCTGGTTCTGGTTCGTCCGAACTCCCTCTAGACGGACCGGTTTGATTTAAAGTTCTGACACGACTCGGTTAGGGTTATGGATAACACACACTCAACACTGTAGCCACAGCTGCCCCGGGCATGCTACAGGAGCCACCGGTCCCTCCGGGCGGCCACCAATAGCAAGGCTTGCCCAAAGGCACAACTCACACTGATGGAGCCTGGGTACGAACACCCCTGTTACCCTGGCCTGGCCTGCCAGACTCGTGTTCTGTTTAAGAAAGCGTGGATCTGGCTGGTCAGGCTACTGTTACCCACCGGTTACAGGGCGAACTCCTACCCCACGAATTTTACATGTATTTATATTGTTTTGTGGTCTTAATTATATGTATAATCGCAGTAATTATATTTATTTAGAAGATATGCAGTAATTATCTTGAATCACTTTCTAGACAAAACTTCAGCAGCTGACCAGGGTTTGGCCCACATGGGTCAGCCACGCCCACCTGCAGATAATTGGTGGAGAGAACTGCTAGTCCAAATGCTCTATTTTAGTAACCAATCAGTGTTATCAGGAAACAGCCTGATGTGACAGCATCTTCTTCAGTGCCTGTGAAGTTTTGGTGGGTCCGAGACGTAAATGTGTGTGTTTGTCAGATTGCTGTGGACAACGGCTTCGGAGGCATCTACGGCCAGCAGAAGGCCGAGTGGATGGTGGATGTCATTCAGCAGTATTTCTACGACAACAGTAGGTAACCATAGAAACAGCAGACAGAACATCTGGTCAGGTGACCTTCAACCTTTTACTTTTGAAAAGCAGCAGCTCAATTCCTGTTTGTCCCTTATGCACGTGTGTGTGTGTGTGTGTGTGTGTGTAGCTGACCTGCAGCAGTATGAGGTTGAGGACTTCCTGTCTGAGCTGATGGATCAAGAGTTCAACACCATGGTGGAGGATGGGAGTTTGCCCCAGGTATGCGCACACTTGTGACATGTCATTCGGATGCTATCTCACCTGTAGTAACCAGGTACCTCCCGGTTGTGCACAGGTGTCGCTTGATCTGCTGCAGGTGTTTGGTCTGTGGCAGCAGGGGGCGCTGCAACAGCTTCAACAGAAGGTTACCACATTAACTCAAAACAGGTCGCAGAGGGCAAAGGTCACGGCTCCACCTACTGAGTCTGATGAGAGCACTGATGAAGCTCCGGTAAGCATCACCTGTGATTGGTTTAACTTTTATCTGGTCATGTGACCACATGGATCAGCGCTTCACTTTGTAAATGTAAACATGGCTGCAGAATCAGAGCAACACCGGGTCAGAACCTGTGGACAACCAAACATCTGTTTGCTCCAGATGTTCTTTAATTGATCATTGGATGGGATTAAAGTTGAATCAAAGATCCGACTGGTTCCAGCTGGATTTAGGATCTTACAGGTCCGGTTTGAAGGTCTGCTGGAACCAGTTGGACCCAGTTACCTCTGATTGGTTCTGAACCAGAGGTCACCTGCTGTTCAGATGAGTGGGAGACAATTCATACTCATAAATCTGTCATCCAGTGGAAACAAGAGATTTAAATATTTGTTGCATCACCATGTAAAGTTACAGGTTACCATGGCAACAGTCAAATAAAAAACGACCCGTGTGTGCAGGCAATGGAGTGTGACGAGTCCACCCCATCAGGCAGCTCAACCCCTCATCCCCCACAGGACACCGAGGACAGCTGGACGCTGGTCAGGAGGAAGAAGTGAGAACATGAAGAGCAGAACTGGAACCGTATTAACTGGACTTAATGGTTCCAGCTGCTCACATCTGCAGAAACTGCATGTTCAAGCGTGAGCTGCTGTGTGAAGACAAGTCCATTCAGGAATCTGGTGGAGCTTGACCAGGGGTCGACTGGAGTCGGAGCATCATGGCCGATTCACACGGGTCAGGGTTAACCTAACCAAGGCTGATGGGTAAGGGTTAACCCTAACCAACCACAAATGTTTCAGCGTGTAGAAATAAACCTTTTGGAATCCTGATGTTTAAATGATCCGTTTTATTTGCTCTGATGTCATTTTCTCATTTCAAGTCAGAATTCTCACAAGTACAGGAAATGAAAGGCTGAAATATTTCTCTTTGATGTTTCTATACGAGTTTCTGAGTGACGCAAAAAAAAAAAAACACCTTTATTGTAATTTTTTAGATGAGCCTCAGAGTAAAAGAAGCGTTCAACCGGCAGTCCATCAGCATCCCTGGAACTAAATAGTCTGTAGAGTACAGCAGTGTCCACATTTAGACAGAAGAGTGAAACGATCCTTTGGTTAAGGATGAAGGGTTAATCATCGTTAAACCGTGGAAGAGGACTCTTCTCGGGAGGTTCAGCGCCACGCCGGGACGGCTGGAAGGATTCAGCTGATGGGTGGTTTGGGTTTGTGGTTGGAGATGGGCTGGACTCCGACTAGAACTATTCCTAACCTGGTTAGGTTAGGGTTAACCCACCCCATGGAGTCAGGTCAGAACACGTTTTTATTTTCACAGGAAGTGTCCCACACAAGCAGATAAACACGTCACTCTACATCGTCAGTAGCTTCTCTGGAACAGAGAGGATGGGTTGTCTTAAGGCACTTAAGTAAGAAAAAGGTAAACACAGGTGAGACAGGATTATTCAGTAAAGCGGTTTGTTTCAGCTGCAGACCCGTCCTCACCACCAGGGGGCTCCAGCAGTCTGATCAATAATCACATTAGGAAGTAATCAGGAGGTAAATACTGATGCTACTTAATGAAGGGTATTACAGTTCTTCAGTTGTCCAATCAGAGCAGTCAAAACCGACGAGTCACAAGACTCAGCTCGTTCCCACGTGATCCTTTAATCTGCTTCCCACACAGATTAGTGAAATCAATCACCTGTGTCTGGTCTCTGTGCCAGGGACGTAAAAGTCTGAGGAAATGTGGCGATTTCATTCAGATGGAAGTCGCATTTATAAACATCACAAACGTCAGACAGGTGAGTCGAAATCAGGTGCGTCTATATCAGTCACAGGTGTGTAAAGATCAGTCACAGGTGTGTGTAGATCAGTCAGACAGGTGCGTAAAGATCAGTCAGACAGGTGCGTGTAGATCAGTCTGACAGGTGCATGTAGATCAGTCAGACAGGTGCGTGTAAACCAGTCAGACAGGTGTGTGTAGATCAGTCAGACAGGTGCGTGTAAATCAGTCAGACAGGTGCGTGTAGATCAGTCTGACAGGTGCGTGTAGATCAGTCTGACAGGTGCGTGTAGATCAGTCAGACAGGTGCGTGTAGATCAGTCAGACAGGTGCGTGTAGATCAGTCTGACAGGTGCGTGTTAATCAGTCAGACAGGTGCGTGTAAATCAGTCAGACAGGTGCGTGTAGATCAGTCAGACAGGTGCGTGTAGATCAGTCAGACAGGTGCGTGTAGATCAGTCTGACAGGTGCGTGTTAATCAGTCAGACAGGTGCGTGTAGATCAGTCAGACAGGTGCGTGTAGATCAGACAGGTGCGTGTAGATCAGTCTGACAGGTGCGTGAAAATCAGTCAGACAGGTGCGTGTAGATCAGTCTGACAGGTGCGTGTTAATCAGTCAGACAGGTGCGTGTAAATCAGTCAGACAGGTGCGTGTAGATCAGTCAGGTGCGTGTAGATCAGTCTGACAGGTGCGTGTAAATCAGTCAGACAGGTGCGTGTAGATCAGTCAGACAGGTGCGTGTAAATCAGTCAGACAGGTGTGCGTCTATCAGTAAGACAGGTGCGTGTAGATCAGTCTGACAGGTGCATGTTAATCAGTCAGACAGGTGCGTGTAGATCAGTCAGACAGGTGCGTGTAGATCAGTCTGACAGGTGCGTGTTAATCAGTCAGACAGGTGCGTGTAGATCAGTCAGACAGGTGCGTGTAGATCAGACAGGTGCGTGTAGATCAGTCTGACAGGTGCGTGAAAATCAGTCAGACAGGTGCGTGTAGATCAGTCTGACAGGTGCGTGTTATCAGTCAGACAGGTGCGTGTAGATCAGTCAGACAGGTGCGTGTAGATCAGACAGGTGCGTGTAGATCAGTTTGACAGGTGCGTGAAAATCAGTCAGACAGGTGCGTGTAGATCAGTCTGACAGGTGCGTGTTAATCAGTCAGACAGGTGCGTGTAAATCAGTCAGACAGGTGCGTGTAGATCAGTCAGGTGCGTGTAGATCAGTCTGACAGGTGCGTGTAAATCAGTCAGACAGGTGCGTGTAGATCAGTCAGACAGGTGCGTGTAAATCAGTCAGACAGGTGTGCGTCTATCAGTCAGACAGGTGCGTGTAAATCAGTCAGACAGGTGCATGTTAATCAGTCAGACAGGTGCGTGTAGATCAGACAGATGAGTGTAAATCAGTCAGACAGGTGCGTGTAGATCAGTCAGACAGGTGCGTGTAGATCAGTCAGACAGGTGCGTGTAGATCAGTAAGACAGGTGCGTGTAGATCAGACAGATGAGTGTAAATAAGTCAAGACAGGTGCGTTGATGATTTCCAATATTACTAAAATCAGCCCGCGGCTGTGCACGTGGATCACGTGCACAACCAGGCGTGCTGGAGGCATTGCGCCGCTGTTGCTCTGTGATCCGGCTCCAAATCCAACATGGTGAGCAGGAAGTCGCTAAACTGTGCCGCTTGGTCCAGAGGCCACTCATACTTTTCCAGCAGGACCTCGAACAGACCCCAGGGCTTCAGGTTGGAGATGTGACGCAAGTCACCTGGTGAAGGTACACAGGTAAACATGATCACAACCACTTGCTGAGCTGGACTATGAGGTCGGGTAAAAACCAACACAACTTTAGACGGTTTTACCTCTCCTGCTGAAGTACTCTCTGGAATACCTGCCAGACAAAACAAAGGGCAAAGGGACGGGGCCAAGCAGCTCGATGATGTGAGCGATGTGGTCTGAAAGCACGATAAAAACACATGAAGACTGCATGTTCCTGTGAAAACACAGAACTGTAGAGTGTGTTCAGAACCCTAACCTTCGTCCCTGGTGTAGTCTTCTCCTGAGTGAGGCTCAAACAGATAATCTCCTGTCGCCAGCTCAAAAGCCTGAAACACCAAAGAGCAGGGATGTGGATCTCCACCTCGGAGGCCGATTCGATTCATATCTCGATTAACAATATGGCAAAACCCCGAGCCGATACGATTCACCCCTGCTCACAATTCGTTGATTTGAGAACGATTTTTGATTCGGTCCAATTCGAAACGATTCAACACATTAAGAAGAATTTACAAGCCCACGTCTGGGTTTGAAAGATTCTCACAATGCTGCTCCCTCTTTGTGAAGGACGTATTTGATCCTCTATGGTTTTATCAGTTCATTCAACGTGAACACTTCTTCAGTGATATTTACACGAGGTTTAGACGGTCTCTACTTAGAAAAATAAACCAACAGAATCAGGAAATTTATTAGCATTCATCTTATAATTATCAGGAATTGTTATGAAACACTGTAAGCATCTGAACGTCATTTTCAAATACTGTAATGATCCATAAGGGCTATCGAGAGCTGCTGTAGCCTAAAGTTGCTGTTCCTTTAAGAGAAGCGTGGCTGCTGGAGATGCGAGTTTACCTCAGCTGTTTATTGGACTTCTCTGAACCGCAGTTAAGGCAAAATGTCTTTCCACCTGGAGTTTTTTAGTTCTGCACTAACGTTACAATAATCAGGAATTATCTTAAGTGACCTCACACAAAGCTTCAGGTGTGCAGAGCAACAAGTCCGCTCTTAAACCAGAGACCGTGTCATAGAGGAGTTTATTTTATTTTGGCAAGTTGAGACAGGAAGCACGTATGTTGGTTAATATTCTCCCGCTGCGGCTGCGTAGTGCACAGCACCTGGCTTTTGCTGCGAGATGTGGCGTTCAATGCTCCTCAGGAAAATGAAGACATGGCGGTTAAACTAAGAAGTAACGGATGTAGCCATGGCTTTTACCGACGAGAGACCGGATGTGATACGGCCGTCAGTTGTAACCGATGCACACTGAAGGTACCGGTGCAGTCGCATCACTAACGTCGTTAATGCACCACCGGTTCCGATCGGTGAAGCCCCCACCAAAGAGCAGACAACTTCACCTCGGACCAACTGAAGAGTGGACAAAAGTTTGGACATGTCCAGAGGGGAGACAATGATTATGGTGAAACAGCTCGCTGAGACAAAATCGTCCTCCAAAACCTAAAAACGGCAAAGCTGAGTGTATAGATGTAGTCGGAGACGGAGAAGCAGCAAGCTAGCAGGAGCAGCGTCTGCTGGTTGTTTAGAATATAAACATTCCTGAAAATATATCAATAATTTAAAGTTAATATAAGGTTATGTTGTAAAGAAGTAGTTGAAAGCAACCATTAGAAAAAAGCTGCATCAACTAACAAAACTAACGATGGCCGCGCTCCCACCGTGCGTGCATGTGTCATGGTGCATGCGTATACCATGCAGGCGGTGCTCCAGATGTCTGCTGGCGGCCCGTAATCTGCTCCAATCAGAACTTCTAGGGCTCGGTACTGCCTCGTTTGAATGTCCTCGGTGAAATGCTTGTGCTAATTGAGAAACAGACAGGCGAGATTTTGATTGGTCACATGTGAAGGTAAGCAGTAAATGAGAAAGAGAAGGAATCTCACCACCCAGCAAGCATTTCCCAAGTCCGCAATCTTCACTTGAATTCGGTCAGCGTTCTGAGGCTCCAGAGGGTTAACCATAAAGTCTGAGGCACCGAACACTGGAGACACAATGGAGACATTCAGTCCGACTCGTCCCCAACTCAACCGTAACAGTTCAGTCTGACTCGTCCCCAACTCAACCGTAACAATTCAGTCTGACTCGTCCCCAACTCAACCGTAACAGTTCAGTCTGACTCGTCCCCAACTCAACCGTAACAATTCAGTCCGACTTGTCCCCAACTCAACCGTAACAGTTCAGTCCGACTCGTCCCCAACTCAACCGTAACAGTTCAGTCTGACTCGTCCCCAACTCAACCGTAACAATTCAGTCTGACTCGTCCCCAACTCAACCGTAACAATTCAGTCCGACTTGTCCCCAACTCAACCGTAACAGTTCAGTCCGACTCGTCCCCAACTCAACCGTAACAGTTCAGTCCGACTCGTCCCCAACTCAACCGTAACAATTCAGTCTGACTCGTCCCCAACTCAACCGTAACAATTCAGTCCAACTCGTCCCCAACTCAACCGTAACAATTCAGTCTGACTCGTCCCCAACTCAACCGTAACAATTCAGTCCGACTCGTCCCCAACTCAACCGTAACAATTCAGTCCGACTCGTCCCCAACTCAACCGTAACAATTCAGTCCGACTTGTCCCCAACTCAACCGTAACAGTTCAGTCCGACTCGTCCCCAACTCAACCGTAACAATTCAGTCCGACTCGTCCCCAACTCAACCGTAACAATTCCGTCCGACTTGTCCCCAACTCAACCGTAACAATTCAGTCTGACTCGTCCCCAACTCAACCGTAACAGTTCAGTCCGACTCGTCCCCAACTCAACCGGAACAATTCAGTCTGACTCGTCCCCAACTCAACCGGAACAATTCAGTCTGACTCGTCCCCAACTCAACCGTAACAATTCAGTCCTACTCGTCCCCAACTCAACCGTAACAATTCAGTCCGAATCGTCACCAACTCAACCGTAACAGTTCAGTCCGACTCGTCACCAACTCAACCGTAACAATTCAGTCCGACTCGTCCCCAACTCAACCGTAACAATTCAGTCTGACATGTCCCCAACTCAACCGTAACAATTCAGTCTGACATGTCCCCAACTCAACCGTAACAATTCAGTCCGACTCGTCCCCAACTCAACCGTAACAATTCAGTCCGACTCGTCCCCAACTCAACCGTAACAATTCAGTCCGACTCGTCACCAACTCAACCGTAACAATTCAGTCCGACTCGTCCCCAACTCAACCGTAACAATTCAGTCCGACTCGTCCCCAACTCAACTGTAACAATTCAGTCCGACTCGTCCCCAACTCAAACGTAGAACTTCAGTCCGACTCGTCCCCAACTCAAACGTAGAACTTCAGTCCGACTCGTCCCCAACTCAAACGTAGAACTTCAGTCCGACTCGTCCCCAACTCAAACGTAGAACTTCAGTCCGACTCGTCCCCAACTCAACCGTAACTGTTCAGTCCGACTCGTCCCCAACTCAACCGTAACAATTCAGTCCGACTCGTCCCCAACTCAACCGTAACAGTTCAGTCCGACTTGTCCCCAACTCAACCGTAACAATTCAGTCCGACTCGTCCCCAACTCAAACGTAGAACTTCAGTCCGACTCGTCCCCAACTCAACCGTAACAATTCAGTCCGACTCGTCCCCAACTCAACCATAACAATTCAGTCTGACTCGTCCCCAACTCAACCGTAACAATTCAGTCTGACTCGTCCCCAACTCAACCGTAACAATTCAGTCTGACTCGTCCCCAACTCAACCGTAACAATTCAGTCTGACTCGTCCCCAACTCAACCGTAACAATTAAGTCCGAATCGTCCCCAACTCAACCGTAACAATTCAGTCCGACTCGTCCCCAACTCAACCGTAACAGTTCAGTCCGACTCATCCCCAACTCAACCGTAACAGTTCAGTCCAACTCATCCCCAACTCTAACGTAGAACTTCAGTCCGACTCGTCCCCAACTCAACCGTAACAATTCAGTCCGACTCGTCCCCAACTCAACCGTAACAATTCAGTCTGACATGTCCCCAACTCAACCGTAACAATTCAGTCCGACTCGTCCCCAACTCAACCGTAACAATTCAGTCCGACTCGTCAGCAACTCAACCGTAACAATTCAGTCCGACTCGTCCCCAACTCAACCGTAACAATTCAGTCCGACTTGTCCCCAACTCAACCGTAACAATTCAGTCTGACTCGTCCCCAACTCAACCGTAATAATTCAGTCCGACTCGTCCCCAACTCAAACGTAGAACTTCAGTCCGACTCGTCCCCAACTCAACCGTAACAATTCAGTCCGACTCGTACCCAACTCAACCGTAACAGTTCAGTCCGACTCGTCCCCAACTCAAACGTAGAACTTCAGTCCGACTCGTCCCCAACTCAAATGTAGAACTTCAGTCCGACTCGTCCCCAACTCAAACGTAGTACTTCAGTCTGACTCGTCCCCAACTCAACCGTAACAATTCATTCAGACTCGTCCCCAACTCAACCGTAACAATTCAGTCTGACTCATCTCCAACTCAACCATAGAACTTCAGTCCGACTCGTCCCCAACTCAACCGTAACAATTCAGTCCGACTCGTCCCCAACTCAACCGTAACAATTCAGTCCGACTCGTCCCCAACTCAACCGTAACAATTCAGTCCGACTTGTCACCAACTCAACCGTAACAATTCAGTCCGACTCGTCCCCAACTCAACCGTAACAATTCAGTCCGACTCATGCCCAACTCAACCGTAACAATTCAGTCTGACTCGTCCCCAACGCAACCGTAACGATTCAGTCCGACTCGTCCCCAACTGAACCGTAACAATTCAGTCCGACTCGTCCCCAACTGAACCGTAGAACTTCAGTCTGACTCGTCCCCAACTCAACCGTAACAATTCAGTCCGACTCGTCCCCAACTCAACCGTAACAATTCAGTCCGACTTGTCACCAACTCAACCGTAACAATTCAGTCCGACTCATCCCCAACTCAACCGTAACAATTCAGTCTGACTCATCCCCAACGCAACCGTAACAATTCAGTCCGACTCGTCCCCAACTCAACCGTAACAATTCAGTCCGACTCGTCCTCAACTCAACCGTAGAACTTCAGTCTGACTCGTCCTCAACTCAACCGTAACAATTCAGTCCGACTCATCCCCAACTCAACCGTAACAATTCAGTCCGACTTGTCACCAACTCAACCGTAACAATTCAGTCCGACTTGTCACCAACTCAACCGTAACAATTCAGTCCGACTTGTCACCAACTCAACCGTAACAATTCAGTCCGACTCGTCCCCAACTCAACCGTAACAATTCAGTCCGACTTGTCACCAACTCAACCGTAACAATTCAGTCCGACTTGTCACCAACTCAACCGTAACAATTCAGTCCGACTCGTCCCCAACTCAACCGTAACAATTCAGTCCGACTCGTCCCCAACTCAACCGTAACAATTCAGTCCGACTCGTCCCCAACTCAACCGTAGAACTTCAGTCTGACTCGTCTCCAACTCAATCGTAAAAAATCTTTATTCCCTGTCTGAATCAGACTTGCATCAGATTTAACAACTAAAATACATTCGGCAAACTCCCATCCTCCACCATGGTGTTGAACAAGGCTGAGTCAACAGTAGGTTTATATCTAAATGGTCCTAGTGTGTGTGCGCGTGTGTGTGTGTGTTCTGACCGTCATGTCCACTCGAACATCCCGACTGAGTAGAAAGTGCTGACTCAGATGTCGCTGACATCACAGAGCTGGAGAACCCCGAAAGGCCGGAGGCGGGGCTACAGAACCGGCCAGAGGTGTCCTCCACCCAGGAGCAGCTGGACTCTGAGCTTGTTTTAGTGTTGCCGTTGTGCACCACAGAAGCTGAGAAGAAAAAAGCACGCAGGTGTGATACAAGTGAAAATGATTTGAAACCATTTTAAACGTGACTGAACACCATCAGTTCCCAGGGGGAGGGTCTATTTTCTCACTGCTCCCTACAACGCAGCCATTTTCTTCATTTAACACATGTAGTGATGTGAAGGAACGGGAGTAATACGGAATCTCTGTGGAACGTCAAAATAAAATAACTTTCAAAATAAGATTGTGTTTGATAAATAGTTATTCTATCAGTAGCTACGTTTACCTGCGCCATATTCCCCCTAGCCGATTCAAACCTTGGTTGATCAGAAATCCCAAATCTCCGTTTACATAGACACCAACTGAAATGATCAGATCATGCCGTGAGTACACACACACCAAGCATTCAGTCAGATTAAATACGTGAGCATACGCAGAGTTGTCTTTCCCGCAAAAAATTTGTTAACAAACGTCGTCTTGTCCGCACGTCTTTCCCCTCGCATTTCATCGTCTTATTCTCTAGTTTGTCCGTTGACTTACGTTTTTTCCCCGTTATGGACCTTCTTCGCATTTTTTACCTGTAAGCTTTTATGTTTATGTTTATTTATTTAGCAGACGCTTTTATCCACATCGACTTACAATTTATAACCTGTAGGGCATGTTGTGATCTGTGGGGGAAACCGGAGTACTCGGAGGAAACCCACGCATGCGTGGGGAGAACACGCAACTCCACGCAGAAAGGCCGCAGCCGAGTTTCGAACCTGCAACCTTCGTGCTGCGAGGTAACAGGGCTAACAACTGCGCCACCATGCAGTGTGGCACCACACACCACGCTTTTGTTTTTACTGATGGCTTTAGCTAAGCTACAGGCTCAGTGGTACGTCATGCTACCGCTCCTCCGCTAAAGGAGAGGAGAGCAGGATCACTTCTGTTTACCGACTTGTCCTGAGCGGCTGCAGAGACGGAAAGACGTCACGCTGAAGTGTGCAGTAGGAGTTATTTTACTCCAAGAATCCGAATAAGTGTGTACATGGACATCAATCGGAACGATGATCAGACAAAACCACATACACCAATCGGAATGGATTTTCATTCCGATCAGGCCGATCAGAATATTCCGATTGGCATGGTTACATGAAGAATATTTTATCTGATAGGGCGTTCTTTTTGATTGTGTATGCTCATGTAAACATAGCTCATGCTTGTTGCATTATGGATCAATGACCATAACATGTAGATGGAGGTATTGTTATGGTCTGAGTTTGGAACAAAGGGTTATCAGCCTACGTCTCAGAGCCATCCTAACCTAGCCTATCCTCATGCCACACCACCACCAAGCATGGTGGTCTCCATCTTTTCCTCCAACTGTCCAAAGGACATTCCTTGGACAAACTGTCCTCTATACCTCCTGTCCATAGTAAAACCATCTCACTGGAGGATGAAGAGCTTTCTGATTGGTGCAAGCAAATCAGCTTTAGTAGCCATGTGGGAATGTGGTGGACTTCAGAAGGAGAGCTTCAGGACGCCACACCGAGACCACCCTGTTCTTAGAGAAGCATGAATGCTGCCGTCTTTAGGCCACCAAGTGTAGCTTAGCAATTAATCATCACCATTACTCCAACACTCATCTTAAGCACCATTTGTTTTGTGAAGAATCACAAAGTGGGAGGGACTGAAGGCAAAACTAGCTCTTGTGCACTAGCGTAGACTCTAGTGTGCTCTGTACTCACAGCAGGTGGCATCAGCGTCGTCAGGTTTCAGCAGACCCTCCTCTTCCTCCATCCTCTGAAGACAAACAAATCAAAAGCATTCTCTGACCAATGACGTGTTTCAGTGTTGATGCATCATTGTAGATGTGGTATAATTGTTGTTGTACCACAGTATTATTACTCTTATTGTAGTACCATTAGTACCTACTTAGCGCAGCTCCAGTTGATTCAACTCAACTCTACACGGTTCAGGTGGTGTTCCATTACAACTGAGAAACGGTGCATGGTAGTGACGTTGAACACTGCTCAGCCTCTGGCTTTTTGTCAGACTCTGAACCAGAAAAAGGCTGCAGGTGGTGGAGCAGCAGCCAAAAAACTCTGGAGCAACCAGTGACTCCGCCCCCTAGCCGATCAGTAGCAGACAGTGGCTGGCGTGCTTTCGGCCTGACACGCTTGCAACCAAATCAAAGCTGGTACTGAAAAACCCTGTAGCTGTTACTGATGGAAATGGCGGCCAACCGGACCAAATGGATTTAAGTCACGCTGACTAGGTACTGATGGAGTCGAAGCTTTAATGAGGTGTTCTTACCCGGATATCCAACAGCCTCTCCTCCAAGAGGCGCTGCTGGCGTTTCGCTTTTCTCTTCAACTTTTTCTTCTTGTTTTTAGACAACCTCCCTACCTGCACACACACACACACACACACACACACACACACACACACTGAGACACTGCAGCAGGACAGTAGAGGCTCAAATGTACGAGTTGAGGGGTGTGGCTAGATGAACCGTTATGTGCTTGAGGGAGGATGTTTGAAGATGTCGTTTCTGTGATGTCCACTAGGTGCTGCTCTCTAAACTTGAAGGTTGTAAATGAACTCTAACTTATTGATGAAGCTGCAGTGACCCCACCCAGTGCTTGTACTGGTTGAAGTGGTCACATGATGCAGCAGAAATCTGTTTGGAATCAAACTGTTCGACACACAGAGGTGATAAGTTTTGCTAAAGGTTCACACACCTGAAAGATTGCTACCTAAGCAGGTAAATGCAACACCCGGGTCACAGGTGTCAGCTGTGAAACTACCCTGAACTAAATGGATGCGGCGCATTACTGGAAAAGATTTAAACCTCCAATTAAAACCGAAACACAGAGATTGGCTTAGAATTCATTTCCTTATTAAACAACCACAGAGACTCCTTTTCTGGAGTCCTGAGACAAAAGACTTTTTCATCAGGACTTGGGGCTTTTTTTTCTTTTTATGTTTGTTTGATTAATAGTGTTCATGTAACCAATCAGATCACAGCAGACATCACACCTGGAAACTTACCTGTACATTCCTAGGAGCCATACTAACTAGAACACGGATGAGAAGGAAACATCAGGAAGCAAAGATGAAAAACAGGAAAAGACAGAAAACAAACTGTAAGAGCAGAAAGCAGGAAGACGGAAAACCAGCACTCCCAGTAAAAGCCACAGCTCCTATGTAACTAGACTGTTCTTGTCTTGTCTGAACTCCCAACACCTCCAACCTCTGATGACCAACCACCTCCTACTTACCTGATGAGCCAGAAGGGGGTGGGGCTCCCTCTCTCTGCCAGATGGTGGCTTCAGCTGCCAATCTTCTGATGTAAACATCATCAACAACCAATAAGATGTTTTCTGGTTTGATGTCTGTGTGGATGATCTTACACTTGGTGTGGAGGTAGTCAAGTCCCTGCAGCACCTGCAAGCACAGACAGGTCCAACTCAATCTCAGTCAGAGCTGCTCAACTAGCCCCAGCTGGACATTAACGCACCCACAGCTAGTTAATGATTCAGAATCCTAAATAGCCACCCTGTTGGTTTGTTTTTATTAAGATCCCCAATAGCCACCATTAAAACAGTTGCTTTTCTTCCTGGGGTCACATCATCATCAAATAAACCTAAGAAATGCATCAACACTGGGCTCACAAGCAAACAATCCGTTTTCATCTACAATATTGATAAGAATACACAACAATACAACAACTAGATATAACGCATCTCACAGCAACATAAAAACACTATTTCTCCACACACAAAAGACAATAAAATAAACAATTAAACCATAAAGGAAATAAAACATCAAATTCATAAGTTCTTCCAACTCATGTCAAACAAAACGGGTATAAATAAATAATCTCAACCTCTTACAAAAATCATTCCTTTGTAACGGACCCCTCAAGAATTACGGTAAACCATTCCATTCCACCATTGCTCTATAAAATACTGACCTTTGAACAAAGTTAGTTCGACTAGCTGGCAACATGAAACAACCATCAGCTTGACGTGTAGCATGATGGTGAACATCCTTAAAGGGGCATTATGGAAGTCTGACAGCCAAAACATGTATAGAAATAATAAATGTCTTCTTCATACGTTCTCCTGCAATGCCCTGGTCCTGTAGAACGAGCCCTGGCATTTTTACTGTGATTGCCTGTTTTTCTGTAAAATCACAGAAAAAGAGAGATGCTCGGGTCGAGCAGGCTGCTTCATGCGCGTTCACGCTCAGGCATCGCCCGTAGCATTTGCTATCAGTAGCTTTAGCAGCAAAGAGAGAGGCAGTGCCACTTTGTCGCTGTTCCTAACGCCTAGTGACAAAGCTAGCTACATTTCTGAGGACCCTTAGCTACTTTCTGTAGAACTTTCTTCTAGATATTTCCTGCAAATTAGCAAGAAAATAGCCATTTTAGCTCCGAACCGTTCTTTGAACGTTGTTTCAGCTGTCATCAAGGATATAAATGTTAGTCTGAATGTTACTGGTGTTTAGCTCACCTTGTAAGATGTCTGACTCTCATACAGAAGACCTGGGTTTGATTCTGGATGTGAACATAGTTTATTTAGAGTTTCTTTTTTACATTAATGGTATATTTTTTACAGTAAGATGCCCAAATATTTATTTGAGACTCGCCGAACGGCATTGAATTCACAGATAAAAAAGATGTGGGTTCAACTTTCATTTTGGAACAATTTTTCAAGCAAGGGAAGGGAATGATCTGAGCATGCAGGAGGACTGACCCATCATAAACCTTTGTCGGCTGTGCTGAAGAGAAAGGTACAGAACCACATTATTTAATTAATTAGCTGCACGTTCTCCTGTCCTCTGTCCTTCGGGCCAGCCACACACACACACACACACACACACACACACACACACACACACACACACACACACACACACACACACACACACACACACACACACACACACACACACGGGACTGTCTCAGCTGTTATTTTCATTAAGGAGTGTGCACGTACAGCATGTGCGCCTCGTGCACGAGCCTACTAATGAAGCTGCAGTTACGCTTTTGGCCTGAGGGGGCAATCGCGAGCATAAAAATTCAAAAGTCTGTAAAGTCCCTTTAAAGAATGTCAGCTGATTAAAAAAATGTCAGCTGTTTGTGTATTTATAAAATTCCTAATAAGTTTTATAAGTAAATACTTTAATTTGATTTGAAGTTTGTATATTTAAACTTTGAGTGAAATAAAGTATTGAATTGAATTGAATTGAATCTACTCCTTACACCCATCCTCACAGCTCTCTCTACATGAACAATTCAGAATCAACCCAGCTGCCTTGTTTTGTGCTACCTGTAATTTGTTTAAGCTAGCTTCCGTAGTGGCGGCCCAAATTACTGCACAACAGTCCAAGTGACACAAAACTGATTCAACCAATTATTTTCTACTTCAACTCAAGTTTATTTATAAAGCGCCAAATCACGACAAGAGTCGTCTCAAGGCACTTTGCACAGTAAACATCCCAATACAGGTCAGTCCATTAAGCCAGTCAGTTAAAAGTTTCCTATATAAGGAACCCAGCAGGCTGCATCAAGACACGATGCACAAATTCAACACCAGGAGCGTACTGCAGATTTCCTTTCTCAGCATCTCGATTCACTCCCAAAATACGTACACGACATTTCCTTCAGTGGTTCTCCAAGCGATCCATCTTCTCCTTTAGGTCAGAATTCTCTTTAGTCAAACTTTCAGCTGCATAACTCTGGTGACCGTGCTGTTTCATGACTCCTCCATTCTACCGACTCTTTTCGCCCATTCAGTCACATCCCTTTTAATCTCATCCAGTTGAGGCTGAAGTTTTTCAACAACAACATTAATTTCTTCCTTTATGATGGATCTGATCAACTCCGACAGCTCCCCAACATTCATCTTATCTGCCGTGATGATCACCGACACCTGTTCCTCCAGACCCAGTTCACTCGGCTTCACTTGCGTCCTCCAATTCCTTTTCGACATATCACACGTCGTCCCTTTCTGATCATCAACTCTCAATAACTTGCTTCACCGCTTTGTATCAGAGAGAGAGAGAAATAAATCTTATTTTACAACCATTTCTCAGGTGTTAATCCATTCATCTGAGAATGGCGTCTCACTCCGCTCAGCTTCGACGCCCACACCATGTGCATGCATAGCTGTGCGTCTAATATAATAAACGCTCAGTGCTTTGTGCCTGTTACCTGCTTGATGATGGTTTTGACGCAGACCAGAGGAAATCCCATATAATTTGACTTAATGATCCATTTTAACAACTGGTGACCCAAAACCTCCATAACCATACAAACATCTGAGAGACGCTGAGGAAATTACTCACTCACAGGTGGGCAGACAGACAGACAGACAGACAGACAGGTAATAGTGAAGGATACGAACTCCATTGGCCCCAGAAATTTTGAAGTCATCAATAAGCTGGACAATGGTTTCCCTATGAGGGTCAGAGGGGTCACTATCCCTGACCTAGAGAGGGTTAGAGAGACAAGTTTTGTGAGTACACCTGTTGATGTGGCTGGTGGAGACGTCTAAAGCCGGTTTTCCAACAGCAGTGCTCAGCCAAAAACGGTTTGGTACAGCGTGGGTTAGACAGCTCAACAGAGTTGTTGGGTTTCCGTGCCAACTCTAACAATAAGTGGGTGTGCTTGTCATAGCACACTGTGGGACCAGCGGCCCTCACAATCTATTCTCGAGACAAAAGTAGTAAGAGGTGATCAGTATGCCACACAGAAACGACACAACAGTAGCACTCTTGAACATTCAGCTCAGTCTGGCTTTTCGTTAGACTCTAAACCAGGAAATGGTTGCAGCCGGCGAGGCACCAGGCAGAAAACTCCGTAACACTTGGTGACTCCACCCCCTAGCTAATCAGTGGCTGACTGTTGTGGATACAGACTGGGTCAGCCCGCTAGGATCCACAATAAAGTAGGTGATAAAATGTTTGGGGAAAGTTGGAAAAGCTTTCCAACCGAACCCATCCGAGTTACGCTGAGTAGTGCTGTTGGAAAGGGGTCAAAACACTCACACATCGAAGCAGTTTGATCTCATCCAGAGCTGTCTCAGTATAATGTGGAGCACTCTTCACCACCTTCATCGCCACAAAACGCTTCTTTCTAAAAGAAGAACATATTCAGAGCCTTTGACAACACCATCTGTGGAAAGTTTGCAAAACCCTTTAAATGTGGCGCATCTTACTGCAGGTCCCAGCAGAGCCAGACTGTGGAGAAATGTCCCCAGCCCAGTTTCCTTACAACATGGTACCTCCCATTAAACAGATCCCCAATCTTCACTGGATAGTAACCACCTGAAACAGACCAGAGTGACACTCGTTTAAAGTTCTCAGGATCCTCTTTGGTGGAACCTGATTCCAGTTTCCATCTGTGACATTCAGACATTCTTTTGGGATTACTCTTTATGGTTATCTAGGGTTAGGGTTAAGAGATTCATCTCTTTAGTTTTCAGTGTTTTAGTGAAAACTGGACTCCACCAGGGCTACCCTCTGTCACCGGTTCTATTCACAATTTCATTTTGAATCCAACAGAACCAGTGCTGTAAGTGGGCCGGTACGCACCAGTAAACAGTATCAGTACATTTCAATTTAACCTCTTAGCGCATTGTCTTATTTCTAGCATCCGGGGCATACAGGTAGCTTTTTCCTGCTATTGAGCAGTCAAAATCTCCAAAATGACTGAAAAAAACTGTTCTTTCTTTATGTAGACATTAGCTGACACAGTCATCACATGCCTGTTCAATGTTGTGTGGTATACCACGACAACACCTGGGTTGTGGTCCCAATTTTTCAAAAGTAGGACAAGAGAGCCTGTTCTAGCTGTCAAGAGATCAAACTTCTCAGCTACCCTGGGTAAGTCTATTCTAGAATCTCATCTAGGGCCCACCTCTCACCTAGGGTGGATATTTGGATGTAAGCAGTTGAAATTATGTTCCTTGGCAGAGTTGCTGGTCTCAGTGTCAGAAGTCAGATGAGGAGGTTCGTCATCTACCCAACAGAAGACCTGCTAAACCTTCACATCCAAAAGAGTCATCTCATGCAATCTCAGTATCTGTTTAGCATGCCTCTTGGTCACTTTTTCTCGAAGTCTTCCAGCCACATGCCAAAGGAAAAGTACCCCATGTATTTTCTTCTTGACCAGGTAACACATTAGGATCCCTCAGAAGAAGCTGGAACATGTTGCCTGGGAGTAGGTCTGAGTCTCGCCCTAAAGACACCTGGAGAAGCTGACTTCCTACTACACCACCACTTTGCACGGATCTCTGAGATTACGTAGTTGTAACATAGTGCAATATAAATATAAAAACCATAAAATGAAAGTGTTTTACTGAGCTAAATAGCCCATTTGCATCATGCATCAACTAATTCTTGTAATGTTTTTATTTTTATAATCATACCTTTACAATAATCTGATGGGTCTTCCTGTTCTTCATCATCAGACCCCAGCAGCTGAACAGGTGGTGGGGTTAACCCTATAGGAGGGCTCTGAGCTGAGGGGGGCGGGAAAGGTTGTGTTGGTCCTGAGGGGGTTGTGGGAGCAAGGCCAGAAGGACAGTCAACAGAGTCCAGAGAGCAGGGAAAGGGGGTAGAAGAGGAGCCCAAAGAGGAGTAAAGGTGTGGAGAGACACTGGAGGCAAATGTGACTGAGGACGGAAGAAACTGATCAGTGTAGGTGGAGTTTAAGGAGAGAGTGGGAGAAGTTTGAAAATTATATGAGGAAGATTCTGGTAGGGATTCAGAGGCAATACCTTGAGATATACTTGGAGATGTTTTGAAGAGCTCAGTTTGGCTGTCTGAGCAAATTAATTGTAGAGATGGGCTACGCAAATTAAGACCACTTTGAATAATATTATGATTAACAGTTGGCAGTGATTGGCCAGATGTGTGGATGGGCTTGTCTAATTTGGAGGAAGATGACTGGCTGAGACACTGGGATGTTTGAAAGGTAGTTTCACAAATACTGAAGGCGGCTACAGGGAAATCTCTGATATCTAGATTGGAGAGTGGTCTACACTGAGGGCTGTGGGCCTTTGGTGACCTTGATCTCCGGTGGGGGCTGTGTGGTTTTGGTGACTGGATTGCCTGGTGGGGGGTGGGGGCCATTGGTGACAGGGATCTCTGGTGGGGGCTGTGTGGTTTTGGTGACTGGATTGCCTGGTGGGGGGTGGGGGCCATTGGTGACAGGGATCTCTGGTGGGGGCTGTGTGGGTTTGGTGACTGGATTGCCTGGTGAGGAGTGTATGCATTTGGTGACTGGGTTGTTTGGTGGGGGCTTTGGGTGTTTGGCGACTGGGATGTCTGTCGGTGACTTTGGGCATTTGGTGACTGGGTTGTTTGGTGGGATCTTGGTGACTGGGTTGCCTGGTGGGAGCTTGGCGACTGGTTGGTGCGGTGGGGACTGTGGGCCGCTCTTGACAGGTTTGTTTGTTGGGAGTTATGGGGATGTGGTGAATGGGTTTTCTGGGTGAGGTTCTGGGGGTCAAGTGACTGAGCCGTCAGGTTAGGGCTCTGGATGCATGGCGAATGGCTTCTTTGTGGACTCTGGGGGGGTGGGGACGGAGTTTTCTGGTGGTTGCTCTGGAGGTACGTGGACTGGATTGTTTGGTGGGGACTCTGAGAGTGTGATGGTATCTGTGCTACACTTTGAGACACTAATGTGGTAGCTTCATGTAAATCTTTTGCATCTGTTGTTGCAGTGTTAACTGGAGATCTTTGAGGGGCTTGATGGTCTTTTTGGAGATCGCTTTCCAATGGTGTCTGGCAAGGATTGCCATCAGCTTTTACACTCTGAGACTCGGAGAGCTCATTAGGCCTGGAATGGAAAGGAACATTTAAAATATCTTCAAAGAATGAAAAAAACTACGGAATACAACACAAGACATTTATAAAACATTGATAACATTAATCCAGTTTAATTTGTCACAATTTTTAAACAGAAGGGATCTTAAGAAAATTCAATCACTTTTACATCATCTGCAAACTGCCTCTTCCCAGTAGGCTCACAAGGAGCTGGTGCCTTTAGCAGTCACCAGGAGAAAGGCAGGGCTCACCCTGGATGGCTAACCAGTCTATCTCAGGGTCACACATAGAGAAACAATCTCACACACACTGTTACGGAAATGTTATGATTATTATTTCTTAATCATTGATTCAATCATCTGAATGTAATATGTATTTCTCTATGCCTAAATGTATGCTCATTTATTCAGCCACACCCACACTCACACAGACACTCCCACACACACACACACACACTTTCTTATCTAATGTTATAAATAAACTGAGAATTCAGGAGCTCGGGGCAGTAGCCTTGTAGCTTCCGCCTCCTCACTGCAATCTGGAAACTTGTCTGTCATTTGTCTATTTTTCTCTGGTTGCAGGCACTGAGTTGTTAATAAAATCCTTGACACACACACAATAGGGATAAATAGGAACACCCAATTAACCAAATACTGTGTGCCTATTTCCATTTGTGGGTGGAAACCAGGATACTCAGAGAAAATCCAAACATGCAAGGAGAGAACTTTATTTATTTGTTATGGAAAAATTTATGCTTATTAATCCTTGATCATGGACTCAATTAACTGAATGTAAATGTATTGCTCTGTTACGGCTACCAGTCTGGCCAGTGAGATCCAGGAGCCAGGATCACCCAGCCCCGGTGATCAGCCTGACACCGCCCCTCCTCCTCCTCTCTTCCAGGCTGCCGAGGAGCACAGCTGAGTTGAATCCTGCTGATTACCAACACCTGGATAAAAAGGCTGCTCCTTCCACACGTAGCCGGGGGATCTGCCAAAACGTAGATATTTTTCTACGTTTTGGCCTGTCATCCACACGAAAACGGAGTTTTTTCACACGAAAACGGATCTTTTTAAAAACTCCGGCCAAAGTGAAGATCTGCGTTTTCTCCGTTTTGGGTGTCTGCGTGTGGACAGACAAAACCGGAGTTTTAAGGTCCGCAACGTCACTTTCCACGACAAAAAAATGCTGACATCACGTGTGCGACCTGTGTTTACACTAGCCGACAGCATGGACGCCCTCAGAGCTGCGCTCGCTTTATCAATTGTCCAAGCGCTTTTTGCTTGTTTGTTTTTGCAAGCGAAATTATTGCTCCTTGCGGAAGACCACAGATGAAGGACGAGGTTAAGAACGGGGGAAGTACTGCCGCCTACAGGTCTGGCATGTCCTTTACAACGTATTTATCCGGGTACGTGTGGACAGAGTTTTTTTTTTAAACGAGGTGGTGTGGATGCAAGTTTTTGGAGGGGCGGATATTCGTTTTTAAAAAACCCGGCTAAGTGTGGACTAGGCCTGGGAGGCAGCAGTGCAGGGGTTCTGCTGTCCTCCAGGTCTCGTCTCGTTTTCAACCCTTTTGTTTGGATGAGTTTTATCGTTTAAACTCTGAGTGATCCAGAGGGACCTTTTTGTGTGTTTGTTTTAAGGTTAACTTAGTTTGTTGCAATTTTATTGACTCCGGTTTTAAACACCTTCGTTCCGGTAAAACTTTTTCAATAAGTGTTAACCAGGTGTTTTTCGTCAGTAGATTGTTTTCAGACTTTTATCAACTTCGGGATTTTAAGAACACCTTCGGATCGGTAAAACTTAGTATAAGTTTTTACCAGGTGTTTTTATAGTTGATAATTTGTGTGATGTTAACCTTTTTTGAGAGTTTTGTTTGTTTTTGCATTATCTTTATATGCTAGCCATCTGTTTGCTTGTTTTTAGAACCTTTTACTACAAATAAAACCATTTTAAACTCCACTGTCACATTTCTTATGTTACCCCCTCCTTCGCATTTTAACATCTCCTGTCGGGGACGTAACATGCTCTATGCCTCTTTGCATGACACACACACACGCACGCACGCACACACACTCACATACACACACACACACACACACACACTCCATCTCTTGGTATAATAAACTCTGTGACCGGATGTTCGGGGCATTTTGCCTCGTGCATTATGCCACAGTTATAACTGTTTGACTTGTCTGCTCATTGTCTCCTCCTCTCTTCACTATAGCAAATGGGTTATTGATAAACATATTGATGAAATCCATGACAATTTATTTAACATTTATTTAACCAGAGGAGTCGATTGAGAACTCATTCTCATGTATGACGGTGATCTGGCCAAGAGGCAGCAGCAACAGACACATAGTTAGCTTTACACCCTAAATAACGATAAGATAAAAATAAGATAAAACAGTTAGAGACAAAGGACAGTTCTAATATATGTACAAGCAACCAAAACAGACTTTAAACAATCTTTAATTACTCAGAAGCAGGAACATTGATCAGAAACGATTGATTGCAATTAATTATTGAAGGTAGATAATGGAAAGTAGGCAGTGAGCTTTAGTGATTTTGGCAGCTCATTCCAGTCGTTGGAAGCAGCAAACTGGAATGTGGAGTGACCAAAGGAGGTGCGAGCTTTGGGAATAACCATAGAGATTAAGTTACTGGAACATAAATTGTGCTGGTTGTTGGAAGTGATGAGTAATGAGCGAAGAAGTGACGGGATCTACCGATGATTGGTTTGTGTATGAACTGATACCAATGTAACATCCTGCAGGAATGGAGTGACGGCCAGTTAACGAGTGAGTACAGATCACAATGATGAGTAGTGAAAGGGGCACCAGTGACAAAACAGGTTGCTGAGTGATAAATAGAGTTTATGAAGACGTTTGTTGGAAGCAGTTCTATAAATGATGTCATCGTATTCTAAAGCCTTGTTTATGCTTCTCCGTCAGCTCCGCAAGGGACAGACACGCACGGATTGACGGAAGCGTTTTGCTCTTTTACTTCTCCGTCTCCTGGAGAGTGTTGCAAAGCAATTGCCTGGCAGGACAACAGAGGGCGTAGCGCTGTTCTGTGGTATCCTGCCGTGTGTCCGGTCCAAGATAGTGTGTTTATATTGTTTTTTGTGTATATAAGAGACTTTTAACACGGACATATTTGTCTCTCATTCTCCCACCTCTTCATGCGCTCCCCACCTCTAAACCCACGTTTCCTGTCATTTCCGTCCACAAATAAAACGCTTGCTGCGTATCTTTTCACTCCTCCAGTCACGGGAAGAAGAAACTTTCATATTTTTAGAGTTTTTTTCGCGAGGTATTCTTCAAGTTTCTCCGTGTCTGCCGCTAGTTATCCTCGGCTCTCTTTGCAATGGCGGCGCTGTAAACAACAGCGGGTTCTCCTTCCCATGGACTCACCACTTGTGGGAGGAGCCAAAGGAGTCGGGTGTAATGTATGATGGCCGAAGGCAGGGACCTTGTCTGATCCTCTGCTACAGAAGCTCACCTGACGCATGGCTCTGGAACCAGTTTCCTTGAGAGGGGCAAAACACTCTACCACTCTGGAGTTGCTCAGACTGAAAGGCACCGAGCAAGGGTGGGCATACAAGTTGCCCGATCTTGGTGCCTGTATGTATGGGTTTACCTCGGTGAATGAAAGGGTAGCCTCCTACTGCCTACATGTGGAGGGAAGGGTTCTGACTGTTGTCTGCGCTTATGCACCAAACTGCAGTTCAGACTACCCACCATTTTTGGAATCGTATTGTAAGGGTCTGCTGGGAATGTCTGTCAGAAGAAGTTTAAATTCCTAGCTCCAACAGAACTTTCAAAATGTTCAGGGGAGGCAGGGGACACAGAGTCCGAGTGGGCCATGTTCCGTGCTTCCATTGTCGAGTCAGCCAACCAGAGCTGCTCCACCATCCAACGCCTCAGGAGGGGAAAGCAGTGAGCTACCAACACTGTTTAATGTAAGGATGGTGTGCTGCTGACCTCGACTCGGGACGTTGTGGATCGGTGGGCAGAGTACTTCGAAGACCTCCTCAATCCCACTGGTGCATCTTCCAGTGAGGAAGCAGAGTCTGAGAATTTTGGGTTGGCTCTCTCCACTTCAGTCTCTGGTGCTGAGGTCACTAAGGTGTTCAAAATGCTCCACGGTGGCAAGGCTCCGGGGGTGAATGAGATCTGCCCAGAGTTCCTTAGGGCTCTGGATGTTGTAGGATTGTGTTGGCTGACGCGCCTCTGCAATATCGCGTGGACATTGGGGGCAGCACCACTGGATTGGCAGACCGGGGTGGTGGTCCCCCTATTTAAAAAGGGGGACCGCAGGGTGTGTTCCAACTACAGGGGGATCACACTCCTGAGCCTCCCTGGTAAGGTCTATTACGAGCTTCTGGAGAGGACGACCAGTTCTATACCCTTAGGAGAGTCCTGGAAGGTGCATGGGAGTTTGCCCAACCAATCTACAAGTGTTTTAAAGATTTGGAGAAACAGTTAGACCGCGTCCCTCGGGGGGCACTTTGGGGAGTACTTCAGGAGTATGGGGTACCAGGCCCTCTGATACGGACTGTTAGGTCCCTATATGACCGGTGTCAGAGCTTGGTCCACATTGTCAGTAGTAAGTTGGGCATCTTTTTGGTGAGAGTTGGACTCCGCCAAAGCTGTCCTTTGTCACCAATTCTGTTCATAACTTTTACGGACAGAATTTCTAGGCGCAGCCAAGGTGTTCAGGGGAACCATTTTGGTGGCCTAAGGATTGACTCTCTGCTTTTGCAGATGATTTGGTCCTGTTGGCTTCATCAGAACGTGGCCTCCGGCTCTTACTGAAGCGGTTCGCAGCAGAGTGTGAAGCAGCTGGGATGAGAATCAGCTCCTCTAAATTTGAGACCATGGTCTTGATTCGGAAAAGCGTAGAATGCCTTCTCCGGGTCAGGGATGATGTCCTGCCCCAAGTGGAGGAGTTTAAGTATCTCGGGGTCTTGTTCATGAGTGAGGGAAAACTGGAGCATGAGATCGATAGGCGGATTGGTGCTGCATCTGCAGTGATGTGGGCGTTGTACCAGTCTGTCGTGGTGAAGAGAGCTCAGTCATAAGGCGAAGCTCTCGATTTACCGGTCGATCTACGTTCCTACCCTCACCTATGGTCATGAGCTTTGGGTAGTGACCAAAAGAATGAGATTGCGCATACAAGCGGCTGTGATGAGTTTTCTCTGCAGGGTGGCTGGGCTCTCCCTTTGAGATAGGGTGAGATGCTCAGTCATCCGGGAAGGGCTCGGAGTGCAGCTGTTGCTTCTCCTAATCGAGAGAAGCCAGTTGAGGTGGCTCAGGCATCTGGTCAGGATGCCTCTCTGGTGAGGTTTTCCGGGCAGGTCCAACCGGGAGAAGACCTAACGGAAGACCCAGGACACGCTGAAGGGACTGTCTCACGGCTGGCCAGGGAACTGGTTAGGATTCCCCCCGAGGAGCTGGCCCAAGTGGCTGGGGAAAGGAAAGTCTGGGTCTCCCTGCTTAGGCTACTGCCCCCGCGACCTGACTTCGGATAAGGGGCAAAAAATAACGTGACGGACCATTCAGAAAAGTTTCTGCAATCATTAGATTGTCGCTCTCAGCAGTAATAACTGCCACAAATTACTTCCTGTTTATGACTTTTGTCAAAAAATGACCAGTTTCTGTGAAGGTTTTCTGAATATCACTGCTAACCAGATTTAAATGTGACATTTTATTTTAAAAAAAAAACGAAAACAACTCACATTATTTTGTGCTTCCATGAGGGGTCTCTGCTGCCTCTATCAAACCTTGTTAGCCTAAAACCATTTCAAAAATTTCCAGATTGTGACATCACAATAAGTGAAACTAGCACAGAACTCCCCTCGGCTGTAGATGCTAGAGTAGCAGCAGCTCTACTCAGAGCCCCTCACCTCAAAGCAGCCAATGAAGGAATTAGTGGGTGTGGCCACTGACCACAGAACTACTATAACTTATAAAAAGTCAGAATATGTCTCCTTTAACCTCCTGTCGAGTTTTGGTTTACATTAAAGTCAAGAGATTTGCGCATGCACACGCACACGCACGCACACACAGTCTATTTTAGTGCAGATGAGGAGATCCTCAGAGGTGTCATGTAGAGCTGGTGTGTGTGTGTGTGTGTGTGTAGAGGGACGGGGTGCATGATCCTAGTCTCTGGGTCTATTTCGGGATCAGTTTGAGTCACTGAACCTGCTCCTGTCAGTGTCACTACAGTTCAGAGGCGTTTGATTCCCATTAAAAAGTTCATTAAGTTTTACCTCCAGGCACACAAGACCAGTTAGGGACTGGTCAGGGGCCGGTGAGGGGCCAGTAATCAGGAGACTCTTAATTAAGATGAATCAAAGATTAATCAAATTCAGAGTAGGGCTCTGAGGTCACTTCCTGTAGAAGCAGGATACAGGATTTATCTATATGGTTCCTGTGTGTGTGTGTGTGTGTGTGTGTGTGTGTGTGTGTGTGTGTGTGTGTGTGTGTGTGTGTGTGTGTGTGTGTGTGTGTGTGTGTGTGTGTGTGTGTGTGTGTGTGTGTGTGTGTGTGTCTCACCGGTTGTCATCAGCTCGAGGTCTCCGATGTTTTTTGCATCGTCTTCTGTGCTTCTTGCCTGTGCCACTGGAACTTCCGGTCGCTGTGTTGACAGCTGCTGATAGAAGGAACACCACCAAACTCCATTCAGAAAACGTTTAATTTAAGAAGCCGATGCAGACATTTCCAAACCTTTGAGGGTTAAATTAGTGGACGCAGTTTTCCTCTATTACACGGACCTGAAAAATACTCAGGCCTGACGTCACACCCCATTCAGAGACAGATACGCAGTAAAACACGAGACAAACCCCTCAACAACTCACTTTCTCTTAGCAGCAAAACACCAACAGAGGAAGGCAGGAAATAGCAACAGCTGAGGATTCAAACCTCTGACCTGAATTAACCAGAGGTCCTGAGAGCTCCGATCATCAGCCGAATTTATCCTTACATGTTTATAAAAAATAACAAATAAAGCTTAAACGATTCAGGAGGAATCTATCTGCTGTGAGGGAACGCTGCACATAAATATTCCATTACTTAACTGGAGTCCGGCGGTAAAGTTTGCACACGACAACTTGATATTTCTGATTGACAGACGATCTGGACCATATTTTTACCTATCAACATCTTGGCTCTGGCCCTCCAGCCGAACCGAGTCGGGGTCCTTCTTAAGACGCACCACAATAACTTGCTGACACCGGGAGACAGAACAACCGGAGGGAGAGCGGTCCGGTGGTCCACTAGAGCCCTCCCTCCACCACCACACGGGTCGGACCGGGCTGCGGCCTGTAAGTCAACTGATGAAGGTTCGCTTCCTTTAGCCGCGTTAGCAAATGGACCAGCGGTTGTCCGGGTTCCGACCCAGTCTCTGTCTGTGTGCCGCCTTTAGGGGCAGGTCTTCTCCGTTATCCTGGCGGTTCCACACGTGCTGTCTCGGTTCTACCGACAACGAACTCAACAGCTGTTCACATCTACACACTGGACACTAGGCTCTGCGCATGCGTACTGACCGAGAACCCTCTGTTAGCCCCGCCCACCATCACCTCCCACTCCATTGGAGGAGTGGCGTGCAGCATGTGAAGAGGGTCAAATGCGTGAGTTGGCAGGTTGGCGGCAGTCATGTGTCCCTCTCTCTCACGCACACACACACACACACACACACACACACACACACACACACACACACACACACACACACACACACACACACCGATCTCATGAGCTCTATTCCATTTTCAGTCCCTTCCATAATGAACCATGTCATCATTGGCTGCTATCAGGTAGGCTCTGATATCTGGGAGGGACTGGGAGTAGAGCTGCTGCTGCTCGTCCAGCATCACAGCTTGGGGCTGCTAATTTATCCATTTGTGACATCACAGTTTAGGACTTTTTGTAACGGCTCATTTTAGGTACATAATTCAAAAGCTGTTTTAGCAAATCTGCAAACACGCTAAACGCAAACACGGTCACAGAACACTCATCCCTCCCATCACGTATCTTCTTTGAGATGCTTCTGCTGAAACAGAAACCTGCGATGCCAGAGGAAACATGATAGCGCTAAACACCATTAGCTATATTTCTAGGTCCAAACCTGTTTTGTTGTCCATAACTTTAAATGGTGTTTTTCTTTTTGGGAATCTGGTAGTTTGTCCAAAACAGTGTTGGGCATCTTACGTAAAAAAAAGTAATTAGTTATAGTTACAAATTACTGTTTCCAAAAAGGAATTGAGCGAGTAACTCAGTTACCTCATTGTTTAAGCAATTAGCAAAGTAACTGACATTTATATGTTCTATGACGCAGTTACGTTCAAAATATCTATAAAATATCTATATCGGGGCGACAGTGGCACAGGAGTTAAGTGCTCGCCCTGTAATCGGAAGGTTGCAGGTTCGAGCCCCGCTCAGTCTGTCGCTGTCGTTGTGTCCTTGGGCAAGACACGTAACCCACGTTGCCTGCTGGTGGTGGTCGGAGGGACCGGTGGCGCCTGTGTATGGCAGCCTTGCCTCTGTCAGTGCGCCCCAGGGCAGCTGTGGCTACATCATAGCTCATCCCTACCAGGGTGTGAATGTGTGAATGCCTGTGTTGTAAAGTGCCTTGAGGGGTTCCAGGACTCTAGGAGGCGCTATATCAAATACAGGCCATTTACCATAAAGTCAAGGATTTTTATAACTCACTGTTACCATCTAGAATAAACATCTAAGCGGTTCGGTGAGACCGACAATCGGATGGTCCAATAGTTGCTTTTCAATCAGTCAATCAATCAAACTTTATTTGTATAGCACTTTTCATGCAAAGCAAGCAACACAAAGTGCTTAACAGATTAAAATGACCCATATAACCCACATTCCCTCTCTTTCCCACACTTAAAGCAAATTATGACAGTTTCAACCCCCAATCCACAAACAATTCCCAAGCGCGCGCACACACACACACACACACACACACGAACACATTAAAAGACAGCTCAGAATGGACTGGTAATGAAAGACACGCCATCAAGGGAGCCATCTGCCTCGACAGCAGCAGATCAACGGCACCAGCAAAGACACCAATCCAGGGCACCCTGGGAGGGAGGGTGGCAACCCCCACCACTACCTGGACACTCCCCTAGGAGCGCCCCAGCCGCCGCCACCGACCACCGGTCCCGAGGCAGAGGGCCCTACTGGAAGGATTAAAATACGTAACATGTAAAATCACACGAGCTGTAAAATATCCAATAAAATGTGATTATAGAAATAAAACAACTTAAATATGTAACACAACAGTAAATAAAATAGTATTCAGTTAAAAGCTAAACTAAAAAGGTGGGTCTTGAGAAGTTTTTGGTCCGAAACGTGTTGTTGGCTGAGGATTTTAGACAAATGCAAGAAAATTACTTCATTAATTTCTAACATACGATGTTAAGATGCATGAAAACATGATTCAAGCTCATCTGTTTTGTGGGGATTATATGAAGTTTCTGACACGACAAAATTTCTTTCCAGCGAACCCACGTGAACTTTTTCAGTGGGAAATTGTTGAGAGGTTTGCAGTAGAAGACTAGTTACTAGTTACTAATGTAATGATTTAAATTACATGTTATTTAATAAGCCATAAGACGTAGGATTCCATAGGAAATATGAAATCAACCTTATGGACCTGTTGGGTTATTTTAACCAGAAGATTGGAACTTTTTATTGCAGGGATTAGATAACAGCTTCGTATTCACTCAGAGACAACAGAAGAGAGGGTCGAGTTTAAGTTTAAAGATTTATTACTAAACAAATTAAACTAGACTAACTTTAACACTAAATGTATGGTGTAACTAAGGTGAATGAGACGGAGAATGGTGTAGTGTGGAATGTTGCTCAGAACCAGCAAATCCGAAGAAGCGATTAGTTCTGATGGGAAATAAAGGTGATGTCTTCGCGCTAAGCATTGGTTAGGAGATTCATAAATACATGAGACGCCATGTTATCGGTCTACGTACCCTTAGTGGAAGTCCCTGTTAGATCAGGAGGTGTAGAGGTCCAGCTTGACCTTATGGAGCCGAAGCCTGTAGAAGCAGCCGCGGCAGCCGACCACCAGTCTTGAGATACTCCCGGGTCACGATGGTTTTGTTGGCATCTAGTGAGACCCAAAACTGGGTCGTGATGGTTCAGCTTTTATTCTGAAAGGAACCGTTGCAGCAGGTGGAACAGCAACAGATTTTATCCAGCTTGTCGTTGGTTCTTATGGCTGAAGAGGAAAGTTACGGATTGGCCACTCCGACAACTTCTCTAGAACGCTTTGAACTGGCGTTAAAGATGACGTGGGCATAGTTTTATACTTCGGATGTTTTGGTTTGTGGTCGAATGAAAAGATGACAGATTTACCAAGCACCACCAAAACCACGCCTCCATCAGATCTGGCAGATTCTGATTGGGTCAGTAAAAGCAATGTGTCATGACTTAACGCTATGCGAGATCAGTCCTAGTAGAAACATTTAAAGTCATATTACTTATTATATTCTATAGGATTATAATAAAGTAATTAATATTTTCATTTCACAGATTGGTCACATCTTATTATTGACTAACACTTTGTTTGATTAGCTTTATTAAAATAGAGTTCTTTGATTTATTAAAAGGAGAGAGTCCTTTCTTCAATCTTCTCTTGAGCTGGAAAGGAAGCAGTTTATAGCAAATGCATGAGACCTTGAGGCCACATCTCATGCAGACTAGTTCTGTGTCAGAGGGGGAAAATGACTTGTGGTGGAAAACAGTCATTTCATACCGTTACACTAACGGCCATTTTAAGAAAACCGTTTGTGAAGCTGAATAATGTCTGATAGCAGAAATAATGATAAACAAGCAGCTGATAAAATTAGAATTTTATTTTACAAGATAGAAACGGTTTGGCCTTCTGCGTCTTCATCCCCTTCATCGACGTCTTCCTCACACATATTTACAGGCACATTTACATACTTTTAGTAAACTGTACAATCAGTAGAAAAGCTTTGTCACTCTGGGCTCAAATTCTTCAGGAACAAACAGCTCGACCAATCAGAGCTGAGCATCAACATAGGATGAGTGTAAGCCCCACCCCTCATTTGATAAAGTAAACAGTGAAGAAAATGTAGAAGAAGCACCAAGCATCAACATCATCATTGCATGCAGAAGTCACTGGGACCAAAAACTACAACTACGGGTAGAAAAGGGGCTCAAAACGCACACTGAAAAAACAGAGAAGAAGGAAGAGCATTCAGTAAAGCCTGGTCCATGTCTACAACCGGGCCAGCACCAGATTTTATCCGGTGGGTCAAGGGGACATGGGCCAGCAGGGTCCAAAACATCTTGGTGGACTCCACCAAGTATGTCTTTTGAGTTCTGTTCAGTCATCTAGAACCAAGAGAGTCCACGACAGTCCAGAGTGGCTGAAGAAGTCCAGATCGGTCCGAGAGTGCTCAGCAGGGTCCTGGTTCTGGATCAGTTTGGTTATTCACACCAGCAGGTACAAAAACGAGAGTTGACACAGAGACACAGCTGGTGTGGTGATGAATCCAACTGGTGGTGAGTAGATGGGAACCATCCATCACCAGTGAGAACGGAATACAGTTGGATTCATCTGAAGAAGGAAACTGCTCTGAGTTAAACAGAATGAAAGCGAGGAACACCGGTGAAACCAGTAAGACCAACAAAACCAGCTCAGCACGGCAAACCACTAAAACCAGCTAGGCTGGTGAAACCGGTTAAACTGGAAACACCTGACCAACTATTTAAAGCAGCTCAACCATTCGAACAGCTGGAGCAGAAGAGGGCCAGCTGGAATGGCTGAAGGACACACGTGAGTCCACCTGTTTGATTTTCCCATCATGCAATGGGACACATGGCACCGCACGGCTGCAGGAGTGAAGGCACAGCTGGGATCAAACTCGCGCACACACACACACACGCACGCACGCACGCGCGCACACACACACCTCTGATTGCTTTTATCAGTGATTGGCAACTTGAACTTTGGGTTTCAGTGCAACTCCACTTCCTGTTTCAGGTCACATGACTAGAGCGTAAATATAAGTGCGGGGGCAGAACTAGTTCAGCACCTGCAGAGCGGGTCCCTCGCGGCTCACCTCTGAGTCGAGGCTACCGTGTGTGAACCAGAGCTCGGCTGACCCTAGTAACCAGGTGACTAATGCCTTTGTTCTATTATCAAACGCATCTCTATGCAGCTCTACTGTTGTCAGATCTACACAGTTTGGTTCGGAGTCCAGCTTGAACAGCAGCACGACGTGATCTGTACCCGACCACAAACATAACAACGCAACAATGGATGCAGTTCAGTCGACAGGTTTGCAGCGGCTCAGGACAAGATGTTAGATGCAGTCAGTGACTCCACCAGTGGCCGTCTCTGGTAACCTGTTCTTGGCCCAGCTCGGCTTATGGGCAGCAGCCTGGTAGTGGTTACTAGCAGAAACGCCCAGAAACAGGCCGAGTAGATGCTAGTGTGCTAGTTACCAGGTTGGCTGGTGTCTGGGTTACCTAGATAGCAGGCTTCCTTGTCACCATGTTATCTAGTTACAAGGTCAAATACGCACCTGGTGTCTTGGTTGCAGGTTTACCTGGCTACTGGGTGAGCAGGTTACCATGGTACAGCTGCAGACAGCGCACAATGGTGAGGTGTTCAATCCAGGATGAATGAAATGTTTCAGATCAGTTTAACTTAGCATCTGTGGGATGAGTGTAATTCATGGAATCTCTAACTCAAACCCTCCAGGATGTAAAAAGATTTCCTAGTGAGAGCCACAGCAAAACTTCAGAGGAGAAGATGTTCCTGCTCTCGTCTGACCCGGTCAGATTTATGCTTCCATCTTCAAAGGCCCCGGATGAAAGCAAATGGGGAAAAAGCAAGAAGGAAACCCTGGAACACAGCTAAGAGGTGTGAGGCGCTCCGGTACGATCTGTGAGGAGCTGAAGGTGCTGCTGCTGGATCAAATTCTGGAGAGAAAAGATAAAGTTTAGGTCTGAAGGTTCAAGTTGAAGTTGCAGTCTTTTTGAAGAACTGACAACTCAACAGTCCTTCCGAAGCAGCAGATTCCCGGGACTCAGTTGTGGGAGAAGGGTTTGGTGGTTCCTCCAGGCTGGCAGTCACAATGAAATGTTCCCTGTTTCAGATTCTATTATTGCATTCAGGAAAACTGGAACAGATCCCAGATCTGCTGGGATGTTCACAGTCTGAGCTGCTGGCTTCAGAACAAACAGCAGCTTTGCAATCCAGTAGAAAATACAAATTGTGCTTTTTGATTTGCTGACAGCAGGGAACTCCCTCAGGTAAGGATGAGATTTCTTCATCTCACTGGATAGATTGTCGTTCTCCGCCACATGGCAGCATAATTTGATATGTCTGGATTGGTTTAACCTGACATAAACTTGAGTTTAATATGAGATGCTGCTGCATGAAAGACCTGGAAGACTGACTCAAAACTGTCTTTAACCAACATGCAGCAGGAAGACGTCGAGTCCCAGCTGTCCAATCAGTTCCGCAGCTACAGTTGGTTCTTTTCCTCAGAGGCTCAAAGGTCAAAGGTCAGTGACTTTGTTCTCCACCAGGGCAGCAACCTGCTGTAGCCGATAAGCCAATTGCATCTTCTGACCTGAGGTGTCCTCCTCCAGAGACATGATGATCTGAGGACAGGTGAAGGTCAGGTTAGAGACAGACAGGTGGAGGCTTATTCTACGAGAGTTTACATTTGTACAGGTGTGTGTCACATGACCTGTATGAGTGTGAGTTACCTGGTCGTAATATTTGTTGATGTACTTGTAGAGTTCATGAAGAGCAACAAGACTGTTCATGTCTGAGGCAAAACTCTGCAGGAAGACAGGTAGAGACAGGGATGAAGAGACAGAGACAGGTAGAAACAGACACAGGTAGAGACAGAAATGAAGAGATAGACAGGTAGAGACACACACAGGTAGAGACAGAAATGAAGAGATAGACAGGTAGAGACACACACAGGTAGAGAGAAACATGAAGAGATAGACAGGTAGAGGCAGACACAGGTAGAGACAGACATGAAGAGATAGACAGGTAGAGACACACAGGCAGAGACAGACATGAAGAAATAGACAGGTAGAGACAGACACAGGTAGAAACAGACACAGGTAGAAACAGACACAGGTAGAGACAGAAATGAAGAGATAGACAGGTAGAGACACACAGAGGTGGAGAGAGACATGAAGAGATAGACAGGTAGAGGCAGACATGAAGAGATAGACAGGTAGAGACACACAGGTAGAAACAGACACAGGTAGAGACAGAAATGAAGAGATAGACAGGTAGAGACACACACAGGTAGAGAGAGACATGAAGAGATAGACAGGTAGAGGCAGACATGAAGAGATAGACAGGCAGAGACAGACACAGGTAGAGAGAGACATGAAGAGATAGACAGGTAGAGACACACACAGGTAGAGAGAGACATGAAGAGATAGACAGGTAGAGACACACACAGGTAGAGAGAGACATGAAGAGATAGACAGGTAGAGACACACACAGGTAGAGAGAGACATGAAGAGATAGACAGGTAGAGACACACACAGGTAGAGAGAGACATGAAGAGATAGACAGGTAGAGGAAGACATGAAGAGATAGACAGGTAGAGACAGACACGGGTAGAGACAGACATGAAGAGATAGACAGGTAGAGACACACACAGGTAGAGAGAGACATGAAGAGATAGACAGGTAGAGAGACACACAGGTAGAGAGAGACATGAAGAGATAGACAGGTAGAGACAGACAGGTAGAGAGAGACATGAAGAAATAGACAAGTAGAGACACACACAGGTAGAGAGAGACATGAAGAGATAGACAGGTAGAGACACACACAGGTAGAGAGAGACATGAAGAGATAGACAGGTAGAGACACACACAGGTAGAGAGAGACATGAAGAGATAGACAGGTAGAGAGACACAGGTAGAGACAGACATGAAGAGACAGACACAGGTAGAGAGAGACATGAAGAGATAGACAGGTAGAGACAGACACAGGTAGAGACAGACATGAAGCGATAGACAGGTAGAGACAGACATGAAGAGATAGACAGTTAGAGACAGACATGAAGAGATAGACAGGTAGAGACAGACACAGGTAGAGACAGACATGAAGAGATAAGACAGGTAGAGACAGACACAGGTAGAGACAGACATGAAGAGATAAGACAGGTAGAGACAGACACAGGTAGAGACAGACATGAAGTGATAGACAGGTAGAGACAGACATGAAGTGATAGACAGGTAGAGACAGACATGAAGAGATAGACAGTTAGAGACAGACACAGGTAGAGACAGACATGAAGAGACAGACACAGGTAGAGACAGACATGAAGAGATAGACAGGTAGAGACAGACATGAAGAGATAGACAGTTAGAGACAGACACAGGTAGAGACAGACATGAAGAGACAGACACAGGTAGAGACAGACATGAAGAGACAGACACAGGTAGAGACAGACATGAAGAGATAAGACAGGTAGAGACAGACATGAAGAGATAGACAGGTAGAGACAGACACAGGTAGAGACAGACATGAAGAGACAGACACAGGTAGAGACAGACATGAAGAGACAGACACAGGTAGAGACAGACATGAAGAGATAATACAGGTAGAGACAGACACAGGTAGAGACAGACATGAAGAGATAAGACAGGTAGAGACAGACATGACAGGTAGAGACAGACCCAGGTAGAGACAGACATGAAGTGATAGACAGGTAGAGACAGACATGAAGAGATAAGACAGGTAGAGACAGACATGAAGAGATAATACAGGTAGAGACAGACACAGGTAGAGACAGACATGAAGAGATAAGACAGGTAGAGACAGACACAGGTAGAGACAGACATGAAGAGACAGACACAGGTAGAGACAGACATGAAGAGACAGACACAGGTAGAGACAGACATGAAGAGATAATACAGGTAGAGACAGACACAGGTAGAGACAGACATGAAGAGATAAGACAGGTAGAGACAGACATGACAGGTAGAGACAGACCCAGGTAGAGACAGACATGAAGTGATAGACAGGTAGAGACAGACATGAAGAGATAAGACAGGTAGAGACAGACATGAAGTGATAGACAGGTAGAGACAGACATGAAGAGATAGACAGTTAGAGACAGACACAGGTAGAGACAGACACAGGTAGAGACAGACATGAAGAGATAATACAGGTAGAGACAGACACAGGTAGAGACAGACATGAAGAGATAAGACAGGTAGAGACAGACATGAAGAGATAAGACAGGTAGAGACAGACATGAAGTGATAGACAGGTAGAGACAGACATGAAGAGATAAGACAGGTAGAGACAGACATGAAGTGATAGACAGGTAGAGACAGACATGAAGAGATAGACAGTTAGAGACAGACACAGGTAGAGACAGACACAGGTAGAGACAGACATGAAGAGATAATACAGGTAGAGACAGACACAGGTAGAGACAGACATGAAGAGATAAGACAGGTAGAGACAGACATGAAGAGATAAGACAGGTAGAGACAGACCCAGGTAGAGACAGACATGAAGTGATAGACAGGTAGAGACAGACATGAAGAGATAAGACAGGTAGAGACAGACCCAGGTAGAGACAGACATGAAGTGATAGACAGGTAGAGACAGACATGAAGAGATAGACAGTTAGAGACAGACACAGGTAGAGACAGACATGAAGAGACAGACACAGGTAGAGACAGACATGAAGAGATAATACAGGTAGAGACAGACACAGGTAGAGACAGACATGAAGAGATAAGACAGGTAGAGACAGACATGAAGAGATAGACAGATAGAGACTGACCCCAGACAGTTCAGTTAATGTCGAGTTCATCTCCTGATAACATCCTGAGGCGGCGCTGTGGATGTCCCCGTAATACCTGGACACAGAGAACCAGACTGCTCCCAGAACCAGAACCAGAACCACTACAAGACTGTTTCTAAAACAGCAGAGACAGAACATTGTCTCACCTTTCAACCAGCTGTTTGTATCGTGGGATCTCTCTGGCATACAGCAGCTTGTTGACAGGTGAGTCCTGATTGGAGTAGAAGAGCATTGATGTCACTGACTACGAGTAGAAAAGGCACAGAGACACGGAGACATGTCCTACCCGTCCAACTTTGTGCTCTGAGGTGGTGCACGAGTCGATGAAGGTTTGGGCGATGACCGACAGGACGGCATCAATGCTGTCGGTCACCTGGACGTCCAGAACAAACTGAGGATTCTTAAGGATGTTGACCCAAAACCTGAGAGGAAGACTGGATAAACGCAGACAGGTGAGAGGAAGACAGAATCATGTCGCTCAGAGCACCCCGGTCTTGGTGTGAGCTTTACCTGTTGGTCTTCCAGATGTGGACGGTTTCCTTGTCATCAATACCGTGTTTCTCAGCCATGTCATCGAGGAAGTCAAAGAAAAATCTGACAGCGATAGGAGGAGAACGTTTGGTGCTGAGGATGGCCATGAAGACGTCATCAACAAACTTTTGCAGCGTCCCCTAAAGAGAAGTAAAAACATGTAGACAGACAGGTGGTCTCAGGTAATTCTAGTTTTAGCTCGGATTAGCTCATTTTAGTTTAAATTAGCTTAGCTCGATATAGCTAGCTTAACTTAGCTTAGTTTATCTCAGTTTAGCTAAGCTTAGCGAAGTTTAGTTTGTTTTGCTTAGCTTAGCTTAGCTTGTCTGTGTGTCACCTTCATGGACAGAAGTCTGGTCAGATAAATCTCAGGTATGGCCTTGGCCCTCTCCCGCTCCTTCATGCTGCTCTTCCTGTGTTTGGGGATTTCTGGATCTTCGCTGCTCTTAACCAGGTGCCAGAGACGCAGTCCTTCCTCCTCCTCGCCCTCCAGCATTGGTGTTTCTATGGCAACCAGACAAGACACTAAGAAGGATGCACGTCTGACGATACATCTTGTATTTTAGTTTGGAGTCTGACATGCTGCTGACAAACTGCGCCTGTGTTTGGGCATCAGCCACCTACACAAGGGCGCCCCCAAGGGGTGGCCATGGCCACCCCTAGAAAATTTTCTGGAGGCGCCCCTGCACCTACAGACCAACTTTGTCCTTACTCTCTCCGGTCTGGAACACCTGGTTGACTCCTCCTGAACTGTGAAGTCGAGGGATTAGTGCAACTGTGGCTCCATCTGGCACCTGAGGACGAGAAGGACATGACACTGAGAATGACCGTGACTAAAAGGAGGTGGTGGTGAACAGCTGTGAGAGGGTGAACCCTACCTTGTAGTGCTGCAGCGTGTTGAGACGCTTCCAGCGACCCTGAACCACGGCTGTGACATCATCATCTGAAAGAGTCAGGTGACCTGCCTGACCCGAACGCCACTCTAGAGATGAAGACAGGTGAGTATGAGCTGCGCATGAAAGCAGAACCAAAGAGAGAGCGGCAGGTGTGTACCCAGGTCCAGGCTGTCAGTCGCTGGTCTCTGAGAGAAAGGAGCTCCTCTGTAGACGTGATCCAAAATTTTATCTTTCACCTGAAGACAAGAATCATACAGACAGGTGAGACGCAAATGTACAGGGGACATCCAGACAGAGACATCCAGGTGAACCTGTGTACCTGTGTGATGGTGTCAATGTCAAGCACTTTAACAGGACAAGGCTGAACTTCGAGTCCGTTCTTTACCAGGACATTCAGCGTCTAAGAGACAGGACGAAGGAAGCCCACGTGATAAAGGAACCACTGAGGTCAGCCTTTCCAGGTGACCCATACAAAAAGATCTGGGATCACTACGGTTACCACTGAGCAGTAGTCCATGTCCTCTCGTAGCAGGTGGCTGTCATTTAGCGTCCGCTTGGCTTTTCCGGTCACGGCGTCCACTGGGCCCTTGTCCACCTGGTATTTTATAGCTCTGTAGAGCATGTAGAGCGGCTCTCCTGCCACTTCCTGACACACAGATGGGTAAAGGTGAACCAGGAGGAGGGGCAGTGAGACAGGCAACTAGAGACACACAAACAGCTACCTTCAAGAAGGAGTACAGACAGATGGACATCCAGTTGGTCAGCATCTTCTCAACAACTGTCTCTGTTCTGAAAGACAGCACAAGAGATCACCAGGACAGTGAAGATATGGGTTAGCAAACAGCAGCGGTGTTTTTTGACTCGGCTGACATCGTCTGCTGGAGGAAGAACGAAAACGCCAGAGATGGTTCAGCTCAAACAAGGAAGTCAATTCAAAACAGTCTCCACTGACCAAAGCGCTCAAGCACAGGTCAGGACTAGGAGACAGGAAAGTAGCAAGAGGCCTCGTTAGGGCGTTCGTCCCGATGAGGACGCATCGGGACCAAGCCCCCATAATACTGGTATGAAAGTGAAGCCAACACGGAAGTGAAATAAATTGCAGTTCCACCCTCATCCACTAGGGGCTGGTGTCAGAAGCGAGCAAATCCTCATTGACTCCCATGATAAAAATACCAATTTCACAGCAGAAATAAACATGTTTACAGCCTGGTACCAAAACATGTTTTTGGTTTAAATGATCTAGTTTACACTCATGACAACTCTGAGGGGGGTGCATTTTTTTCTCACTCTTCTGTTTAAGTGTATTAAAAGCCTAAAATTCTGTATAATTAATGAGCATCAGACCCACGTGACCACAGAGCTAGCTCCAGGGAAAGACCTCAGTAGAGCCTCGGCCTGGCCTGGAAACTGTTCCGTCAGTTTCAGTCTCTCACCTTAGACCATTAGTTGTAGCATTTGTGCGTTCTTTTTGGATATTATTTGTGCAATTGTTGGACAAAATGACTTGCTGTGGCATTAATTGCACTAATAGTGCGTCCAAGGAGTCTCCACTTCATTTTTTTCGGTAAGTAAAATTATATTTATGTATTTTAGGTCACTGCCGAGCTGAGCTTAGATTTTAACATGTACTGTTTAACCATGAAATTTAAATGTAATAGGGTAAAACCCAGTGCATTTAACATAATGCTGCACTTTAGAAAATGGGTTGAAATATGACACGTTGGTGGAGCTGGGTTCCCACTATCGGTATGGTCCCCTCCCCTCAGCGGCAGCTCGGCACATCAGACCGCAGCGGCGCCTGTCTGCTGCGCGGCTGCCGGCTTGTGGAGCTCGGGAGACCTCTGTGTTCCACCCGGGTTTATCCGGCGGTCAGCCCGGCGTATCTCTGACTCAGAAGCTCTGGTGTTGTGCACAGTTAACTCCGGTTATAGCTAGGTAGCTACCTCCGTTAGCTTAGCTCCCACCTCCATGTTAGCTTTGAGTTAGCTTGTAGCTACATCGCTTCAGTTTGACGGGTGTCGTCATTCGATCCCAGCCTTGCAGCCTGACCCTCAGCTCCTCCTCTCTTCCCTTTTATGGAATTGTCTGGGCTTGACAAAACCTGTGACACGGTCAAAATGGCGGTGGTGGCCACCTCCCATTTTGGCCTAAAAACGTATCATTGGACCCCATGGACACGAATTGTCCAGTATATATGTCGATGATCGGGACATAAAAAGACAGAAACTGATCAGGGTTGAGGAGGATGACAACTAAACTTTGTGAGTTTTACATGTTCTTCTGGGTTTGGACGAGGACTGTGGTACCTACCGGCGCAGCATGAGTTTAGGGTTTTTGGCGACGTACTGCTGCACCAGGTCCTGAAGCAAAGTCTTCATGACCTCAGTGAAGTACTCCAGCTTATCGTGAAGAGCCATGGTGAGCAGACTGGCCACGTAGCCCCGGTCCCTCTGAGAGAAACCCTGCTGGGCCTCCAGAGTGTGGATGAACTGTGAGACAGAACCACAGAGTCAGAGTCACCTGCAGCTCCAGGTGCCACCTGGTCTGACAGACCACCTGTAGCACCCACCCTGGTGAGGAAGAGTCTGTTGTTGAGAAGGTTGTTGAGCTGCTGAAGGCCCTGCTCAACAGTCTGCTTCCTGGAGTCTGGCACGTCCAGCTGTCGGATCAATAGCGCCATCTGCTGACCGGGGAAGAAAACTCTCTCTGCATAGGTCTTGTAGTCCAGCAGAGGAAGTCCAGGTCCTCCAACATCACTGCTCAGGTCCATCATCTCAGTCATCAGGTCTATGGTGACAAAAGAACGAGAAGAACATCTCCGGGCAGCTCAGAAAAGTCGGGACAATTACCTGTGAATTCTTTGCGGCACTGATCTCCCACGTTAATCTCCAGAGTTTCCAACTGCAACAAAACCTTCTTGTAATCCCTGAGAGCCTGTTTACTCTTCCTCCTACACAGGAAACAGGTCCAAACCAGTCAGCAGCACTGCAGAACCACACCAAACCCTGACCAACCTTCATCAAGCCTCTTTTTAAAATCCAACCGTCTGTTCTACACCTCACAGACAGGTGCACACCTGTACATCAGGATGACGATCAGCACCGACAGGATGACGACGGCAGTTCCAGCCCCCAAACCAATCTGAGCAGCCAATGGGACGGGAGACAGTAATGAGTCACTGTCATACTGAACCTGTCCCAGATCCACCTGGAGGTTTCCCATGAACACCTTTGGAACACACAAGGAGGCAGAGAGTAAGACGTCAACACCCTCAGAGCAAATCCGGATCCTGGTTCAGGCTCCTCTTGAGCAAACAAAGGACTGGTTTGGTTCTGAAACCACAGAACCGGTAAGTTTACCTAGAAAGCTGCTGGAGAAGCTTTAGGATGCTCCCCATGTGGAGGGTGTTGTCCAACACCAGTTTTATTGTTGGTTTAAGCCTTCCTTTAACACGATAAAAGGCGGAAACACATACTCAGAGAACATGCCAGTCCCTATTCCGGACCAGATTGAGTAACCGTGTGTTTGCCAATAGGGATGAGGATTTTCTCCTCAACAGCTGACGGCTCATGAAGGTTTCAGAAAAGAAGCTGAAACCGTCAGCTAACAGCAAAAAGGTCTCCATTTTCCATCTTGTCTGTTTAAGAGAAAATCCTCTTTACCGAGGCATACTGGATTTAATTAAAGGTGCACTATGTAAGAACGGCATCCTGTGGTTAAATGCGGGTACCACAGCACAAACAAACAAACGAGTGACTCTCTCGCTCCCGTTCTGAGAGTTTCAAGGCTGTCGCCAGCTACCGATCAGCTCCAGAAGATTCTAGGTGACGAGTGAAGTACACAGTAAGTTCATGGGTGGATAAATACATTTAACTGTAATATCAAGTTGTTGGTATTTGAAAAAAGTAGCTTGGAATTTTTTTTGGAGCAGACTAATTGTTTATAATTCATTGTTAGCTCACCCTTAGCCTCAAGCCTTCTTCAGCTGATATTAGAGTAAAGCAAAAAGATGCCGTGGCGTCTAACGGGCAAAAGAAGTAACTTCTGGGTCGCTCCTGTTACTGGTTTAGGATCTTTACAAAGTGCTGCAGAATTTTTACCGGCCGAAGTACAAATGTACGCGCAGCCGTTTTAGCCGTCGCAGACCTGGCTACCCCGATTTATGATTTACCCTATGCTTCCCCGAGTGCTAAAATCCAGATGTATGCAGATGAAACTGTAGTTTTTACGCAGGCAAATAAGTCCACAGAGAATCTGTCGCTCTTCCATCTGAATCAGGTACAAGACGAGCTTTTAAAATCCTGCTGGGGAGGTCTGGGTGCTCTAGCTTACTCTAGATCCAGAACCAAGCTCCAGTTGATTCATTACAAGTGGAAAAAAAGAACCAGCGGCTGGTCATCTCCATGTTTCCAGAAAACCACCGGGAGGCACTCACATTTGAACTGAGGACCTTGCTTTAGAGAGAAATTAGGTTCTGTATGAGGTGGCCAGCTGTGGCCAGCTAGCTCAGGAGGCTGAGCGGGTTGTCCAGTAATCGGAAGGTTGCAGGTTTGATCCCGGCTCCGACCAGAGAATGCTGAATGACACGATACCCACGTTGCCTGCTGGTGGTGGTCGGAGGGACCGGTGGCGCCTGTTTGGCAGCCTCGCCTCTGTCAGTGCACCCCAGGGCAGCTGTGGCTGCATCGTAGCTCATCCCCACCAGTGTGTGAACGGGTGAATGACTGATTGTGTTGTGAAGCGCCTTGGGGGGTTGTAGAACCCTAAGAAGGCGCTATATAAATTCAGGCTGTTTACCAGTTACTTGGTTCTCTAGCGCTTGTAAACGGTGAGTTTCGTTCATGAATCTGAGATTAAAGGGCAGAACGTATAACTAACATGTTACCTTGAGGCTGGGCAGCTTGTTGTCATCCACGCTCCTCGGTTGAACCTCTGGCGGTTCGCAGTACAGGTGAGTGCTGTCCAGAGTTTTCAGTTCGCACTCCTGGTCTCCAAGCTGAGCCCGCACCTCCAGCCTAGACATGGCTCTCGTGAGGTCCTGACCCTGAGTAGCGCCATGACACCAGGACATCAGAGTCCACACAGTTTGCTCATGCATCCTCAGTGAGAGCATTACTCTACCTCCACAGCTATTACTCCTCCTGGTTTGAAACGATACGGAGCTTCCGGAGCATCCCGGTTCAGAGGAAACAGCTGAGGGTTCTGATGATACGTGAAACCTTCACCCTGGGTGTAAACAGAAGATTACAGATGGTGAGGGAGCTCAGAAGACTAGCTGGCTGTTTCTAAAAGCCTCAGTCTTCCGATCTTCATGAAGGAAGCCTAACGAATCAGAGGGGTGTTAGATTCTGGACTAGCCGTTGTCTTACAGACAACTGAGTGCATTTTCCTTCAGTTATTTTATGACAAAAGAAAGGTTTTTAATATCTGCAGTTCCAGAAGGACGTTGTGTTTTTATAATCTCTTTTACCATCACCAAGTTTTGTTTGGGACAATAATTGGGATCATCTCTCCTAGTCCCACCCACATGCACGCATCATCACAGTCCGCATGAAACATCAACTCTGTGCCGTTTAATCTATTCAGTTCCTTCCTGGTCGCAGTCCTTCACACTACCTTTTCAGGATGTCTATGATACTCTAGAAAGCATGGAGCTGACATAAATTCATGTGGATTTCCTCGTGACCTCTTCGTTTCCTAAGGGGTTTCTTCAGATTGGCTCTGACAAAGCCGAGAGTGGCAATCTGTCCCTCCAAACTCAGTCCACACTAGTTCGGACCACTTCAGGTCTCTGGAACTGAGACGTGAGAGATGACAGAAAGGTGTCCAGGTCAGGTGGTCGGGTTAGAGAATCAACAGGTACCTTTATCTTCTCAAAGTGGATTTTGACGTTGTCCAGTTGAAACCAGACACCTTTAACCTTCAGCTCTGGGGACACTGTGGGGGTCGGACAGGTCATCTGAGAGAACGAATGGACAGAACAGAGCTCCGACACCTGGGAGACAGACAGGAGGGCAGACAGGTGAAAACAGGAAGTTAAATGATGCTGCTTTGATTGGTTGATGGATCTCACCATCATTACAGTTGGATTAAAAACCAGTTGCTGCTTGGAGGTTAGGACAGCCAATCGTCGTCTTCTTTTCACCCTCTGGACCTCCATAGTCTCCACTGCAACAGAGATCTTTGGCTGCTGCACCACATCCAGGTTCCTGCCCGTTACCATGACAACACGCCCACCGCTGCAGGCAGGAAGTGGAACCATTATCAGGAGGATTATTAGACAGTAGACTTTTGATCAATGATTGGTCCTTACGCATAGAAGCTCTCAGCAGGTGTAGCATCTGTGATTACGGGGTCGTCAAGGTAACGGAAGGGAATGTTGGGAACAGTCCGCTCAGCTTTACCAAAGAAAACCCGAACTGGAACTGGACTGGTCCGATTACTGGAACTGGTCTCACACACCAACTGGGAATCCTTAACCTCGTTCAAACTGAAAGGATGAAGGGAAGCAAGGACGCAGAGAAGGATGTTATCAGGTAAGGGTCCTTGTGACGATTAGTTTCTGCAAAGTGCTGGAGCTGAGCCCGCCTGCTGCAGAGGAACCTAGAAGGCGCTCACATGTAACAGGGATGGGAACCCAGGAAGGCACTCAGGTCTGATGGCTGTCCAGTCAGCAGCTGCTGTCCTTTGATGGTAAGCCTAGTTCCACCAGAAACTGGACCTTTATCCGGAACAAGATCCAGGAGCCGGGGGTCCTGAAATAGACCAGATCCGATTTGGACACAACAGTATGAAACTGGAAAACCTGATTAGTATCTTCAACCAAAAACAGCCACAAAAATCCAGAGTTCCAGAGGTGAGACATTCCTTCGGAACCGGAGCCTTTAGAGCTGCTCCAGAGTGAAGCAGGGTTCAGAACCAAAGCCTGGACCTACCACATCTGGAGAGAAGAACTCACCTGATAGGTGAACATCTGCACTGACTGACCAAGTGAAACGTTTCCCACTGCAACTTCAACAGGCCCCACCTTCCTTATCCCACTGGACTGCAGCTCACACACAACCCTAGAACACACCAAGTATAGAAGTACATAAACACACAGGTACAGGTGACTCACATGTGTGAACAGGTGTACATGCAGGTAAACACACAGGTACAGGTGACTCAGTGATGTGTGAACAGGTGCGCATGCAGGTAAACACACAGGTACAGGTGACTCCGCGATGTGTGAACAGGTGTACACGCAGGTAAACACACAGGTACAGGTGACTCACATGTGTGAACAGGTGTACACGCAGGTAAACACACAGGTACAGGTGACTCACATGTGTGAACAGGTGTACACGCAGGTAAACACACAGGTACAGGTGACTCACATGTGTGAACAGGTGTACACGCAGGTAAACACACAGGTACAGGTGACTCACATGTGTGAACAGGTGTTCACGCAGGTAAACACACAGGTACAGGTGACTCCGCGATGTGTGAACAGGTGTACACGCAGGTAAACACACAGGTACAGGTGACTCAGATGTGTGAACAGGTGTACATGCAGGTAAACTCACAGGTACAGGTGACTCAGATGTGTGAACAAGTGTACACGCAGGTAAACACACAGGTACAGGTGACTCACATGTGTGAACAGGTGTTCACGCAGGTAAACACACAGGTACAGGTGACTCACATGTGTGAACAGGTGTACACGCAGGTAAACACACAGGTACAGGTGACTCCGCGATGTGTGAACAGGTGTACACGCAGGTAAACACACAGGTACAGGTGACTCACATGTGTGAACAGGTGTTCACGCAGGTAAACACACAGGTACAGGTGACTCACATGTGTGAACAGGTGTACACGCAGGTAAACACACAGGTACAGGTGACTCACATGTGTGAACAGGTGTTCACGCAGGTAAACACACAGGTACAGGTGACTCACATGTGTGAACAGGTGTTCACGCAGGTAAACACACAGGTACAGGTGACTCACATGTGTGAACAGGTGTACACGCAGGTAAACACACAGGTACAGGTGACTCACATGTGTGAACAGGTGTTCACGCAGGTAAACACACAGGTACAGGTGACTCACATGTGTGAACAGGTGTACACGCAGGTAAACACACAGGTACAGGTGACTCACATGTGTGAACAGGTGTACACGCAGGTAAACACACAGGTACAGGTGACTCACATGTGTGAACAGGTGTTCACGCAGGTAAACACACAGGTACAGGTGACTCAGATGTGTGAACAAGTGTACACGCAGGTAAACACACAGGTACAGGTGACTCACATGTGTGAACAGGTGTTCACGCAGGTAAACACACAGGTACAGGTGACTCACATGTGTGAACAGGTGTACACGCAGGTAAACACACAGGTACAGGTGACTCACATGTGTGAACAGGTGTTCACGCAGGTAAACACACAGGTACAGGTGACTCCGCGATGTGTGAACAGGTGTACACGCAGGTAAACACACAGGTACAGGTGACTCAGATGTGTGAACAGGTGTACATGCAGGTAAACACACAGGTACAGGTGGCTCAGATGTGTGAACAGGTGTACATGCGGGTAAACACACAGGTACAGGTGACTCAGAGATGTGTGAACAGGTGTACACGCAGGTGTGGACTCATTCAAGACCTAATCAGGCAGGACTGCTTTTCATTCAAAGGTTTTGTTCATCGTTTTGCAGGATAATGTGTACCTGTGGGATTCACAGGTACCACACCTGTACCTGTGAGATTCACAGCTACAGGTATGGTACCTGACCTGTCTACCAACTCTAGGTGAACCTGTGCCGAAACAGGAAGTCTGTGTTTCCTTCATATGTATTTAACTTTTGACCTTGACCTCAACCTTGTGACCGTACCTGGTGGAGATCTGATACCCTTTCGACTGAGGTACACACGGGATGTTTGCCACTTTAACTCCGCCCATCACATCCTGGTATTTGGTGCCCAGATTTGACCCTGAGATGGTCACCAGGATTCCACCTTCTAAAGGCCCAGATAAAGGTAGCACCTGCACAAAACAGGTTACATGTTTCTATAGTACCACAACTTCTACAGACATCCTGATGGATCAGTAAACACACCTGAGTTATGTGAGGAGGTGGACAGGTGTCTGCAGGTTTACTCAGACATGACTTGCTGTAAACGCAGCTGGGAGAGGGACTTCCTGGACACCACACACAGCCAAACTCCTCAGGAACCGCTTTGCATTGTGAACAGTCAGACTGACCAGCTGCACAGTCGTAGAGCTGGACTGAAAGGTGATGAGAAGAAAATAAATGATCTCAAGGTGCCTCCAGAGATTTACTGGACCTTGAAAATACTCTGTAAGTCCACCAGTGTTCTCTTCCTCCTCCCATTTTGGTTCAACTAAGTTTCAACCATCTGGATTCAGTTCAGAGATGTGAAGGTGAGAAGCAGAACTTTGATTCTAGAATCTGAGGATTAGGGTGGAGACACTGAGGGACATGGCAGGAGCTGCAGCCTATGAAGGGATGTGTGGGAGAGAACATCTGAAAGGTGATGAAACTCTGGGCAAGGACTGATTGAGGTGAGGTGCCACCAGTCCCTCTGAACATCACCAGCAGACAAGGAGGGTGAAGAACCTTCACCCGAGTACAAATCAACATTTTCAGACACTTCTGATTTAACAGATTCAGCCACAGGTCTCACATACACGCATGCATATGAAATGGTGAATTTCTCACGTTTGAGTCCAGGTAAGGTGTCAATACGTCTATGTCCCCTTCGTAGGTAGACTGTAGCTGCATACTGCAGGTGACTGATTGGATACTGAAACTAACAATACGTAGAAACAACCTCAGTATCTCTAACAAGTTACTTTAGTGAAATAATGTAATGACATGATTGTGCTACCTTGTGTGACCTGCAGGTGAAGATGCGAGTGTTGTCACTTGTTGTCTGTTCAGCAGCTGTCAGGTTAAACTGGACTCCTTCAATATCAACAACACACACATACGGATCGCCATCCTGCAACGACCAGACACAGATTTAGGTAAAGGAGAGTACCTGGACGTCACCTGGACTACACCTGAGATGCACCTGGACTACACCTGAGATACACCTGGACTACACCTGAGCTACACCTGAGATACACCTGGGATAAGCCTGGGCTACACCAGAGATACACCTGGGCTACACCTGAGATACACCTGGGCTACACCTGAAAAACACCTGAGACACACCTGTAAAACACCTGAGATACACCTGGACTACACCTGAGATACACCTGGACTACACCTGAGATACACCTGAGATACACGTGGGATAAGCCTGGGCTACACTGGAGATACACCTGGACTACACCTGAGATACACCTGGGCTACACCTGGACTGCACCTGAGATACACCTAGACTACACCTGGGCTACACCTGGCCTACACCTGAGATACACCTGGACTACACCTGAGATACACCTGGGCTACACCTGAGATACACCTGAGATACACCTGGGCTACACCTGGACTGCACCTGAGATACACCTAGACTACACCTGGGCTACACCTGGCCTACACCTGAGATACACCTGGACTACACCTGAGATACACCTGGGCTACACCTGAGATACACCTGGGATACACCTGAGATACACCTGGGCTACACCTGAGATACACCTGGCCTACACCTGAGATACACCTGGACTACACCTGAGATACACCTGGACTACACCTGAGATACACCTGGACTACACCTGAGATACACCTGGACTACACCTGAGATACACCTGAGATACACCCAGGCTACACCTGAAAAAAAAACTGAGATACACCTGGGCTACACCTGAGATACACCTGGGCTACACCTGGGATACACCTGAGATACACCTGGGATAAGCCTGGGCTACACCGGAGATACACCTGGGCTACACCTGGACTACACCTGGAATACACATGAGATTCACCTGGGCTACACCTGAGATAGACCTGGACTACACCTGAGATACACCTGAGATACACCTGGGCTACACCTGAAAAAACTGAGATACACCTGGGCTACACCTAAGATACACCTGGGCTACATCTGGGATACACCTGAGATACACCTGGACTACACCTGAGATAAGCCTGGGCTACACCGGAGATACACCTGTGCTACACCTGGAATACACCTGAGATTCACCTGGGCTACACCTGAGATTCACCTGGGCTATACCTGAGATTCACCAGGGCTACACCTGAGATACACCTGGGCTACACCTGGGATACACATGGGCTACACCTGGGTTACACCTGAGATACACCTGGGATAAGCCTGGGCTACACCGGAGATACACCTGAGCTACAACTGAGATACACCTGGCCTACACCTGGACTACACCTGGAATACACCTGAGATTCACCTGGGCTACACCTGAGATACACCTGGACTACACCTGAGATACACCTGGACTACACCTGAGATACACCCGGGCTACACCTGAAAAAAACTGAGATACACCTGGGCTACACCTGAGATACACCCGGGCTACACCTGAAAAAAACTGAGATACACCTGGGCTACACCTGAGATACACCTGGGCTACACCTGGGATACACCTGAGATACACCTGGACTACACCTGAGATAAGCCTGGGCTACACCAGAGATACACCTGTGCTACACCTGAGATACACCTGGGCTACACCTGGAATACAACTGAGATTCACCTGGGCTACACCTGAGATTCACCTGGGCTACACCTGAGATACACCTGGGCTACACCTGAGATACACCTGAGATACACCTGGGATACACTTGGGATACACCTAAGATACACCTGAGATACACCCGGGCTACACCTGAAAAAACTGAGATACACCTGGGCTACACCTGAGATACACCTGGGCTACACCTGGGATACACCTGAGATACACCTGGACTACACCTGAGATACACCTGGACTACACCTGAGATACACCTGGACTACACCTGAGATACACCTGGGATAAGCCTGGGCTACACTGGAGATACACCTGGGCTACACCTGAGATACACCTGGGATAAGCCTGGGCTACACCGGAGATACACCTGGGCTACACCTGGAATACACCTGAGATTCACCTGGAATACACCTGGAATACACCTGGGCTACACCTGGAATACACCTGGGCTACACCTGAGACACACCTGAGATACACCTGGGCTACACCTGGGCTAAGCCTGAGATACACCTGGACTCCATGTGAGCTAAACCGGACATACATCTGGGTTACACCTACGCTAAACCTGGGTTATACCTGAGCTACCCCTGGGGTACACTTGAGATGCACCTGCCTGAGCAACAGCAGGGCAACACTGGAACTACAACTAGGCAACATTTGGACATCACCTGAGATACACATGAACCACACCTGAGACAGTTGAGCTACACCTGAACCACTGGTGGGCTACACTTTAACTACATGTTTCATCTGTAAGTCGCTTTGCACAAAAGTGTCTGCTAAACACAAAAACATATAAGCTACACCTGAGAAGTTCATATGGCTGCTCTGGTTAATTCTCAGTGTGACCCAAACCGGGTTGTGGCCTACTGAGCTGTCTGATCCAAATCACAAACATCAGCCTTAACCTCACCATGTAAATATCCAGGTTTCGTCCCTCCAGCACCACAGTGGAGCTCAGGCTCATGGGCACGAAGGCAGAACTCCTAAGACTAAAGACCATTGGACACGATGTAGGACCGGAGATGTCCTACAGACACAGAAAATCAGACCATCAGATGCACAGAGAAATCAGGAAGACCGAGAGATGCACGGGCAGACAGACAGATGTCTCACCCTCTGGTTCAGAATGATGTGTTGGTTGGGGCAGCTGTGTTTGTGGGTGCAGAGTTCATCCAGAGGACACCAGTTACACCTCCACACTGAGCTGACACAAGCCAAACACCTAAAATACACACAGGACCGGTTCTAACTTAGCTCAGGCTACATGGACCAGACTCCCCATAATAGTCCTAAACATCCGTCCATCACCAGCACTCCCTCACTCCGACAGGTTGGACTGATGCTGCCTACCAGAAGGAGCTGAGGGGAGTCTCTGGTTCTGGTGCTGTTTAGCGCTGGGGTTAGGGTTAAATGCATTCATTGTGGAGGTCTTACTGGGAACTCTGGTTCAGTTGGCTTGCAGCTCTGCAATCATAGAAGGTCATGTTTCCTGTGGTGATGGTCACATGACCGAACATCAGAGACATGGGCAGGATCATGTGATCTGTGGACAGAGGAGTTGTTCAGCTGCACGTCAGGGCTGAGAACCAACTCTGCAGAGATGTTATCTACTTACCTCTTCCTGCGGGTGTGGCTGGGAGGAGCTCTGGTGCAGGGGACTGACAGGCAATGCTTGTTTCCTTGACAACCGCAGGTTGCGGTGGGAGGTTTCCAAAGACACAGGAAAGGACCTCTGCCCCTTTAAGAGCAGGAAGCTGAAGGACTGTCAGAGTTACCTGAGAGACAGAGCGAGCTGGTTCTGTTATGTGGTTCTGCTCCAGGCCGACAGGATCTTTTTATTTTTTGACTTTATAAACGAGACATGAAACAAACAGAAGACATTCTGCGGACTGACACCATGCCGAACAGAACCTGCTCTTCACATTCCCTTGTGCTGTTACAAGAAGCAGAACCCGGATGCTGGTCCTAGATCAGCAGCTTAGACTCATCTTGACACACCTGTGCCTGCTCCTCTTTGCTCTGATTGGCTGGCTGCAGGCTCTGCACTGTGATGCACTGATTGGTTGGTTCAAAGCTCCAAAGCCAGTGGTTTGCCAGCAGGTGGCGCTGACACTGATGTTTACGGGAACACCTGAACATGATCAAGGAACAATCATTGTCTGCATGACGTGAACAAACCTGGGAACACGAAGGACAGAGGACAAAAACCTACCGGCCCTCCAGGACACACCAGCCACAGTATGGGTCTTTGTTGGACAGGCAGGACTGACAGTCCCTCTGTGTCTCACAGGATGACACAGGAACCTTTGACAGCTGAGCTCGAGACATGAAACAGCTTTATTTTAGTCGTGTGACCGGACACAAGGTTAGAGAACAACATAACATAGGGAAAAGGACGTCTTTCACCTGGTCATCAGATAACACATAAACATGCTGAAGGCTGCCGTCCAATAGCAGATCAGCACTGATGGCGCCATCACTGTTCACCAGCAGGCTGCCATACAGGTCACCTGACCCATCAGGACGCACCAAAACCTGGATCCCAACCACACAGGTAAGAGTGATTAGGCCAGGTCTGTCTGATCGTGGTGGCAGGAACGAGTTTGGCTCAGCAGACTGCTGACACCACATAACTCCATGTCTAAAACAGGTGCATCCTGGGTAATGCTTTCTCCTGGAACAGTTGTGTGATTAAAAATTAATGAACAGAATCAAACTGCTGAGCGCTTGTTAACGTGCACACCTTAGGGCCAAACTGATCCTCATTACCCACAATGCACCTGGGACACGAATAACCAACCAACCAACAGTTAAAGTCTGAGCAACTTCTCAAGGGAGTTCCTCCCCCAAACCCACCCCCTCACACCCCCAGGCTAAACAGTTGTCAGACACACACACACACACACACGCACACACGCGCACACACACACACACACACACACACAGTCAGATGCAGCAGAATCTTCTATATAACTTTTACCCTTTGCTGGTGTTGATTGTTTTAATACACGTTCCACCTTTCTCCTTTTAATTTGACCCAAGTGTGTGTGTGTGTGTGTGTGTGTGTGTGTGTGTGTGTGTGTGTGTGTGTGTGTGTGTGTGTGTGTGTGTGTGTGTGTGTGTGTGTGTGTGTGTGTGTGTGTGTGTGTGTGTCAGACTCTGGTCACCTTGTGCAGTCGTCCCTCTTGGTCTCCTAGGAAAGCAATGGTGTGACCAGCCTCTGAAGCTGCTGTGACAGCAGTCAGCTGAGTGGGTAGCGTGATGGTAGGCCCGGCCTGCAGAGGCACAGCACTGGCGATGGGGTTGGGGGTGTGTTCCCACCCACAGGGGTACTCTGAGAGAGAGTCCTTAGAATAGAATAGAATAGAATAGAATAGAATAGAGAAAGTGAGACACACAAACAGGTTTAAAACCGCCAATGTCCACATGTGTTCAAACCGGTGAATGGAAATTGAAAACGGGTTAAGGAGTTATTTTCTTCCAACAACTGTAGGGAGGGGTGGCATTTGATTTCGATTGGGGTGGTGGTGGTGGGGGAGGGGAAGGGGGTCCTGTCAATCTAATATCCATGAGAGCGGGGGTGGAGGCATGCATGGGGCTCCGTGGCAGCGAACAGAAGGCTCCCCCTTAGTCAGTCAGTTCATCGCTTTCGGGGGAGCCCATCACCCCTTTAGGGGAGCCGGGGCACCCTTAGCTCTCCTGATTACAAGAGAGCCTGTGAATCTTTGCTCGCTGACAGGGAACATGTGCTGTGGCCAGCTCCCTTAATGGTAATCACAGAAACTTCAAGGCAACCAGCTTGACAAAGGCCTTGACTCGTAAGTGCGACGGAAAGCAGGGAGTCAAAAATGAACCTTCTCCATGTCTCAGACATCGAGGACATGGGTGGCCCACGCAGAAGACAAAGATGAAGGAAAGCTGGCCTGGGCTGTGACCGTCCTTGTGGCCAGGAGGATGTGTTCAGCTTCTTTGGCCAGCGAGTGATGATCTTTTTGCTGCAGCGGCGCAGAATTAGCAAAGACTGATGACCCGTGAGCTGACAAGAGGAAGGGGTCCACAAAGAAGAACCCGTCGTTGTTAGAACCCAGGTAGGACAACATGAGCTCCAAGGCAGTACCATCAGCCACACCGGTGGGAGAAAGAAACTCCTCTGCCCGTTCAGCATTTGCTTCTCCCAGGTTAGAGGATTTCAGAGTAGGCTCATAACTTGACAGGTGGACAGTAAAGCAACCACATTGTAGAATTTCATGTCATCAGTAGATAATTCACACAGGGCCAACTGCGCTTCAGTGTCAACCAAAAATGATGGATTGTGCATCCCACAATCTGGAAGCTCAACAGCCACGGCAGACAAAAGAGTGCAGCAGCAGTGAGCAGGGCTTGAGCCACTTGGGTTGCATTGGCGTTTTCCAACTTGTTTGCTTACCTTCACCAGTGTGAAGGACTGGAGGACTCTGAGCTCTGAACCAAGACGGGCAAACAATGACATCACAAAGGCACCGAAACATTTGCATACAGTCCCAAGATCCTATTTTCAATTCAGTTCAGTTTACTATATAAAGCCAAACCGCAACAAGAGTCGTCTGAAGGAACGTCACGGAGTAAACATTCTGATCGAGTTCGGTTAATTATGACAGTTAGATCGACCCGGGGCCCCCGGGTCGACCCAGGACACGTTGGAGAGGTTACATCTCCAATCTGGTCCGGGAACGCCTTGGGGTCCTGCCGGAGGAACTGGTGGAGGTGGCCGGGGAGAGGACGGTCTGGAGCTCCCTAGTTGGGATGCTGCCCCCGCGACCCGGACCCGGATAAGCGGAGGAAGACGACGACGATGACAGTTAGATCATTATTACTTCAGGGTTTATGGATAAATATAACTCAGTATCCAAGCATAACAGTGGAAGTTTATCCATGCAGTTGGAAGAAAAGAATTGGACCAAGTACTGAACCCTGTGGTACTACATTCTGACCTTTGTGAGTTTAGCTTCCTAGAGGCCTGCCCCCACATACTAATGATTTGGGAATCTCAATCAGCTGTGTCCAATAAATTTACCTGGTGTACTTAAGTCAACCCAAACATCAATACTGTAAGGATTCGGACTGCATGAAATGACACCATGAGAACTGAGCATTACGCTAGCTGAAGTGGTTTCAAAAACCTTAACGAATACGAGTACACAGCCATAAAATTGGACCAATAGCTGATGCTGGCATTGGTGATTCCCAATTTGACCTTTCAGGATGTCAGCTTGCTGCTCTGACTTGTAGAGAAATTCCTTGTTGCTATGGTAGAAAGTAGGAAAGTTAAACAAATTAGCATTCAAGTTCCTTCATTCTTAGAAACAAATAAAAGAATTTCACAAAATCGCTATTAACCAAACAGCTACGTCAACAAGCTAACTCTGTGTGGTACTATTTTCAGAAGAGCTAAAGAAGAGAAGGTCAGGAGAGAGGAGACAGGGCAGGTAAGGTGAGAGGGGGGAGGGCAGATGTCAGGTGTTCTGTGTTACCTTTGGTAATCTGAGACACTTGGATGACACGGCGTACTCGATGTATGCTTCTTCCTGTCCGCCGCTGCCTCTTCCTCCCTCTGTGTAACACACTTCCTGTGCTCGCAGCATCATGGCATCAAGCTTTGCCATCCCATAAACACAGAGGGCAGAGTGACTTGTTGCAACTGGAGTAGAGGCCTGCCCAGCCGCCATGACAATGAACAGAGATGGCTCCCCTGAGTGGTTTCCTAGCCACGCCCCCTGGGCCAGGTTGTAGCCACCATTGCACTGCAGCGGCACCTCCACGTACGAGTAGAAGCTGCGGTCAGAGGTGCAGAGCCTGGAGACGTAGGTCCTGTACTCTTTCTTGTGCCACATGTCCCGTCGAGAGAACAGGAAGTACACATGGTCGCTGTGGACAACAGCCTTCACAAAGTGGTTGTTGTACTCAGAGTAACTTCCGACAACAAGTTTTCCAAGGTCCTCCTCCTGAGAGAAGGCCCTGCGGGGTGGAATCGTTGGGTACAGTCGTCGTGTGGTGATCGGGGGGATATCTCCAGGACCTTTACTGGTATAGCCTCGACCAACCAGCATCAATCCCAGCACACCATCAGCTCCTCCTGCTACCGGTTTGCCTTTGGTGGTTATTACCACACCTACTGTGGACACTCGAGGGTCATTGGCTGCAACGTACTGAGTGTCCACGGGGTTGGAGGTCTGATAGAGAATCTGAGAGATGTTGGACAGACTCCTACAGAGAAACAAGAACAGAAACATCATCCAAGTTCAGAATTTAATTAGTCAAACAGTAAACATCAGATGTTTAAAAGCCTCATTTTTTTTTATTGAAAAGTCTTTTTAAATATCAGATAAATCAGCTGAGTCAACGTCTATCTTTATGCAATCTGCTTGTGTAAAAACGGCTCAGATTCCTCTATGAAACCGTCTGAGCGGAACCGAAACAGGCCAAGACGAGTCAGCAACACCCAGACGCAGAAGATCCCTCTGAGGGACTCTGTAGATCAGAGCATCAAACTCAAATTCACACGGGGCCGAAATGAAACTCTGGGACGAATTTGCGGGCTGAACTTAATATTTTTTGAAAAAGTGACGGCAAATTTGCACATTTTCTTTATCAACATATTTTGAACCTTTTCATTTGGAAACTAACTTATTTTTGCATCAACACTGAATGTGGAATAACCAAATTACACACGAGCAAGTCAATTTTAAATAAAACGCATCAGCGGTATTCATTACTTGTGGTATAATCAGCATTTTTAAAATCTATTCAGGATTTATGTTTTATTGTTTGTTCATTTTTCTGATCTTTTATTCTCCTTTTTTCTCCTGTTATAAGTGTCATCGCTGCTGTGACGCCTAGCTTTCCCCACTGAGGAACAATAAAGGGATTTTCTATTCTCTTCATCTATCTGCAGCCTTTCCACTTCCTGTTTACTGTAGGTTAAATCTTTTTTCACGGGCCAACAACAAAATAAAAGTATTATTTTATCTTAAATGAAAATGCAACATCTCACCTGTTAACTTTCATGTTTTGGAGCAGAAAAAGAGCATAAAACCAACATATTTAAAGCTCAGTTTGCTCCACTGGTTTACTGTGATGCTCACCTGTTCCAGCCAGATACCTGCATCATGGGGTTGATCTGAGCTGAGGAGGAGACTCCTGTTGTTTTGTTCATCTTCATCATAATAATGACAACATTAGATGACAACAGGTGCTCACATAGGTTTGTGCTGATGAACATGTCTGAGCAGCTTGACCACGATGTTGTGTGTCGGGGAGGAAAAATAAAAACTACAGCAGCCACAGAGTCGTGCTGGTTTGAGTGTGTCGCTGCTCGCTGGAGTTAGTTCAGCTCTGTCTGGAAGTTAGTTGGAAAACTTTCTCTTTCAGTCGTGAACACGTTACTGAGCGGTTAAAATCTCCGTTTCTGGGCTTCAGCGTCGGCAAATAGCTGCGTAAACTCGGCGCCGAGTGAGAGGAGTGTTTAGTTTGTCGAGACAACGGAGCTACAGACACCGGTGTTACACCAAATTCTGCGACCCGTCACAATTTGTGACCCCAGGGGGCAGTGTTGCGTTTTGCTGCGTCTGTACATCCTGAATTGGCATAAAAGAAGAAGATGCTACGTTAGAACCGTGAACTGCGTAAGCTTTGAGGAAGTTGTGCGGCGCGGACCATGGATATTAGACAGAGCATTTGTTAATGTTTATTGCAAACAAACGGGACAATAAATGCAGCGATAACCAGGGCTTTGACAAGAAATGTTTGCTAACGTTAAACACTGGTTTTACAACATGCGAGATCCGCAGGAAAAATGTTCAGAACTTCCATTTATTGAAATAAATTGTTGTGATCCACATCCTCAGTTTATTAGAAACCACTGCAGATTGTCTGGTTGCTACAGTTATTTTCCTGTAACTCCACTGCCGCTCATATGTACTGGTGGAGATAAAAGGGAAATAAAATGACACAAACATAACGAAACGCCTTTTGTTGTTATCATCTTTAGTGAAAATTAAAGACATCTGCATTATTACTGAGATGCAGGTGGTCACATTCTGTGACAGCCACTATCGTATTGTGTGACCACGGTCAGCGCCGCACAACTTCCTCAAAGCTTACGTAGTTTACGGTTTGAACGTAGCATCTTCTTATTTTATGCCAATTCAGGATGTACAGACGCAACAAAATGCAACACTGCCCCCTGGGGTCACAAAATGTGATGGGTCGCAGAATTTGGTGTAACACCGGCAGCAAACGTTGGAAAAAACACAATGGAGGGGGGGCGCTTTGGCTCCGCGCTAACGCCGCAAAGCATCATAGCAGTTGTAGTCTTTGCGGTAAAACTGGCCAGCGGGTCAGTTTTAATATATTTTAGATATTTGTCTCGCGGACCACATAAAAATGCGGTCTTGTGTCTGACACGTGTGGATGAAGCTCATCTCCAACAAGTATCAATTTCTAATTAAATATTTATCATCGAAAGAAGAAGACATCAGTAACATGACAACAAACAACAGATTTACCTTTTGTCACAGATTCCTTGGAAGAGTGAACCACAGACAATCAGGCTTCCTGGCTCCGCCCCCTGCCCCTCCTCCATCAGCAGCAGCTTATTGTAGTTGTGAGTGGGCGTGGCCGAGTGGCAATCTTGGGGAATGATTGGGGGAAGACAGTCTGGGGAGTCCAGTTGAGGACCAGTTACAACGTGTGAAATCACCTCCAGGTCAGAGGTCAGCTGGTAAAGGTGGTCAACTCCGCCCACATACAGGTGTCCCAGCCCCGGATGCAGAGAGAGGTGGGAGAGGGGGGAGCCTTCCAGCTTCACCCAGAGGGGATCCGCTGGGTGGGAGGGATGGGGGAGGAGGAGGAGGGGGAGAAGGAGTACTGCTGAGATGGAGGAGGCCAACATGGCATCTCCTCTTTACCTGCAACAAGTAAATCCAACAGAGAGACGTTTGACTCGCCTGAGGGAGCAGCAGCTGATCATCACATGAAAAAGCAGAATCACCAATCAGCTAATCACCAATCAGAGGACATGATGCCGTTTCCCTGTCAGAATGGATGAACCAGATAAGATAGTCCCACCTAAACACAAGACCGTGTGAGCTGCCTGAAAAGATGGAGCCTGAGGAGTGCTGCAGCAGAAACTGACCTGAGATCAGCTTCTTTGGAGAGAAACCGCCCACGAGAGTTTTGGAAAATTCATCTCTGAGCTGGGAGTGAATCTCATTTCCACTCTGAGCCTGGCAGGCAGAGCCCTCTCCCTGGTTTCAGAGCCGAGTGAAACCGTGACGTTCTCAGATTAAAACCCGAAATCAGAAATATGTAAAACACCTGAGCAGGTAAGTCTCCTCATTGTGACTCTGAACTTGTTCAAACATTTTCTTCTTCCCCTTTTCATCTGACTGTCAAACTGTAAGTGCCTGTTGTAATGTCGCCATGGCAACAACCCAGTCTCCACAGCAACACTGCCAAATCACCCAGTCTGGGAGTTAAACTGGTCTCAGTTTCACTGCTGCTGATAAATAAACTGGAGCCTCATTTATCAAGCTTGCTTACGCACAAAACGGGGTCGGAAAACTGCGTAAGCAACTTTCCACGCAAACTTTGGGATTTATCAAAGAAAACTCAGTGGAAAAATGTGCGCAACTTTAATTTGACTAAGGACCTGGCTTACGCACATGTTGGACATGGAGAGCACCTGCAGTGCTGCTGCTGAGAAGGATAACTTTATGAAATCCTGCAGCATTATCCTTGTACTGCTTCGTTTTCACACAGAACAAGACCCCCCCCACACGCACACACACACACCATGAACACACACACACACGCACACGCACGCACAAACAGCCTGAAGCGCAGAATACGGAATGCAGAATATCAGCAGGGGGGCAGATTGAGACAGAACATCATGCGTCTGTGACAGTGTGTGTCCTGTCACTGTGACCCAATTAATCATGCGCCCTGGCTACTTGGACTAGGGAGATCTCTGTTTGGGTGACTGGTTAGTGTGCGTGACTTTCACCTGGGAGTCTGGGGATCGAATCCTGATTGGACCATTTTTTTTAATATCCGCCACAGATCTCTCTGAAGAACTCAGCATTGACGGCTTCAGCAACGCTGTGCCACTCTGTGGATTTTCTCTTATTTGTTTTGCAAAAGCACTTCCTTTCATTTCTCCACCTCACCCACAGGTACCTCAACTTCTGCTTCTGTGAAATTGCACTTCCTTGATTTGCCTTGATCTACGGTCGCCATGTCATTGGCGGAGCGCTGCAACAGCCGGCTTATGTATATGCATGAGATCCACAAGGCACTTTGCATTGACTATTTATGGCAGTAAGTGGGCGCGGTGAGGGCGGGATGTGACTAAAAAGCAGCTGAGAAACATTCTCGTTAGTCTCTGATTTATGAAGCGGAGATTGCGTGCAGCTGTGCGTCCTCCAGGTTTGATAGATCACACACCTGCTTGGCGTAAGTACATTTTTTTTGCTGAGCTTAAGTACGGTTTTAGTAAGGATTCAATGCAATGTTTGATAAATGAGACCCCAGATCTTTAGTTCAGAGGTTGTCGGCTTGAAATATTCTGGCACTTTGTAGAATTTTTTCTAAAATATTTAGCAAATCTGTAAGAAAAAACCCAAATTAGAAGAAGACTGAGTCCAGCTGAGTCAGGAGAGCTGGTTCAGGTCTCAGGTTCATTTATCCTTCAGAGAGAGAAGACTCGTCTCTGTGAAACGATAAACCGGAGACGCAAAACCAGACTGAGGTAGGAAGAGGAAGATGAAGAGGGCCTGAGGGTTTCTGGGTTGTCTTTAGCTTGGTCCAGGAGACTTTATCCATTCTGTTTGGCTTCATGACAATCAGAAGTTTGGACGTTTCTATGTTTTTGCGTTGATTCTGGAAACAAACAAACCAACCAATCATGCACTTAAAACTGAGAAATGATCGTGTGTGTGGGCTCGTCTTAGTGGAAGGGGAGGACGCAACACGCGAGGTGATCTGTACTCGACAAAGCCTCTGAACCCTGAAAAGGCTGTGGACAGCAAGAGAAAAACTCTGGAGCAATCAGGAGCTCCACCCCCTAGCCAGGCAATGACTCCGCCCCTAGCCAAGTTGTGACCAACAGCCTGAAACGTTGCATTTTTGGCCTGATTCGGTGTGCATGGTCCCACATCGTAGCAGATCATGAAAAGGGGAATGCGACCATGGGCCTGTTATTAAATGGGAATACATTAGAACTGGGTTGAGATGAACCAAGCCGCACTGAGTAGGTACTAAATGAAAAGGTCTTTTTAGAAGACCCCATTGGAGATCTTCCTGCAAACAAACTCAACACTCTCGCTAGCTAGCTCAGGTCCTTCTTTTTTCAGTAGCAACTGTATGTCCTCCTCTGGTCCTCTCTAATATGGTGTCCCACCAGGATCAGTTCTAGACCCCCTCTCTGCTCACCCCAGGTGCACTCCAGTCCCTTCCCGAGGGCCGTTATCCAGCATGTTTTTACTGTTTTCCTGCTTCAACACACCTGAT